TTGATAAAGGTCAGCATGAAACGGGCTGTAGGAAATATTCTTTGTGACCCGCTCGCCAACTTTCTGATCCGTCTATACAGAAGAACAAACTGACTTGACGTTTGTATTGAAAATCCGACCGAATTTTGTTGTTGATTGCGTTGAGTGACGAAGATTTCCAGATTGATTTCAGGTTGATGAATGTGTTTCTCGCCCCCCACCCGATTCACGCTCGATTTGACATCCTCATCCTTTCCGACTTCCTGTAGTTGAGACAATGCTCCCTAGATAAGTAAGTGAATGAAGTAACCTCCTTCAAATCCCTCCCGTTGGTGGTGATTGACGCTGGATTTTGCTGCTGTTGTTGTTGGTTGGTTATTTTCATCACCTCCGTCTTGTTTATGTTTACCTGGAGTCCTGTCTTCGCCGGCTGCTTCTTCGACCAGTTTGTCGGTTTTCGCTTGTAAGTCTTCGATTGTGTGTGACATCAAACATAAATCATCCACACGCGAAATCCAGGTCTTCTAGGTTCTTCACGTCGGTCGGTCCAGGATATCCCTATCTTCTCGTTTCCCACTCACTGTCTGACGCATAATCCAGTCAGTCCACCACAATTAGGAATATCATTGGTGATAATAATCAGCACCCTTGTCTGACTCCTGTGTTTACTCCAAACGCCTCGCTGAGTTTTCCGTTGTGGATCACTTGACATGTGCCGTTGTCGTACAGCTGTTGAATAAGGTTGATGAATATTTGGGGTACGCCATAGTACTCGAGTAATTTCCAAATTACTTCACGATCAACGCTGTCTGTTGAAGGCCTTCTCAAAGTCTATAAAGTTGAGGTAGAGGTTTGATCGCCATTCCATGCTTTGTTCTGTGATGATGATGATGCGTAGAGTTGCAATTTGGTCAGTACATGATTTGCCTGACTTTCCTGAATCCAGCTTGTTCTGGTCGGAGTTCTGTCTCCAGTGCGTCCTTTACTCTCTCCAGGATGATGCGACTCAGGATTTTACTTGGCGTCGATAGGAGCATGATTCCTCGCCAGTTCTTGCAGAGTGGGGCCTAAGTCGCCCTTCTTTGGTAGTTTCACGAGGTAACCTTTCCTCCAGTCAGTAGGCACCTTTCCCTCCTTCCAGACCTTTTGCAATAATGGAGTCAGCATGTCTGCTGTAGTCTCTGGGTCTGCTTTCAGTGCTTCAGGGGTATTCCATCTGGTCCGGCTGCTTTTCCAGCTTTCAGAAGCTTGATTGCATTCAAGACTTCAGCTCTCGTTGGAGGATTGGTGTCAACTTGCAGTTGTGTGCGCGCTGTTGTTGGTATTTCTGGACGGGTTGCAGGTGATGGTCGGTTCAAGAGTCCTTTGAAGTGATCCGCCCATTGTTTAATCTGTTTTTCTTCCTTGGTAATTGGGTTCCCTTGGCTGTCTTTTATAGGTTTCGCTTGTGTTGATCTCTTCCCGGATAGAGATTTGGTTATCTGATATAATGTCCTCAGGTCCCTTTTGCCTGCTGCCTTCTCAGCTTCAGTGGCCAGGTTGTCGTAGAATCGTCTTTTGTCCTTCCTAGCACTCTTCTTCACTTCTTTGTCCAGTGCGCTGTGACGTTGAGCTGAGCTCAGCGTCTCCTTCTCCTGTCCGTCCTTGCATTGAATCATTTTCTCTTTCACCATTCTCCTCTCTTCTATTAATTTCCAAGTGTCCGTTGAGAGCCATTCCTTGTCTTGTCTCTTCTTTCTTCCTAGAACCGTTGAACACGTTTCGTTGAGAATCGCCTTCAGAGACTTCCAATGTTCTTCCACGCATGATTTTTCAGTGATGTCGCGTAGTGTTTCCTGCTTTGCTCTGACAGTTGCAGTGAAGGTGTCTTTTGTGGTTGTGTCCTTCAGTTTGAGTGTTGAACTTGCATTGTGGCCTATCCCCAGCTATCCTCGAGGCTTTTAGTTTCACCTTGAAAGTCCCTTCTACTAGATAGTGGTCTGAACCCACATCTGCTCCTCTCCTCGACCTTGTGTCCAGTAGGCTCCGTCTCCACTTTCTTGAAATTGAGATGAAGTCTATTTGATTCTTGGTGTTTCCATCTGGTGAAATCCATGTCGTCTTGTGTATATCCTTGTGTTTGAAAACACTGCCACCAATCACCAAATCATTGAAGGCGCAGAAGTCTGAGAAGAGTTCACCATTGTCGTTCATTTCACCGAGGGCCTCTCGACCCATGGTGAGTTCTCTTCCTGTGTTGTCTCCTCCCAGCTTCGCATTCATATCACCCATCCGGGTTTTGATATCGCCATTTGGGACGTTGTCCATTACCGTTTGTAGTTGTCTGTAGAACGCCTCCTTCTTCTCTTGTTCTGAGACGTTTGTAGGCGCATAGCATTGCCATTGAATGACTGTAACTTTCCTTCCTTTTGAGTTGAACCTGGCTGTCATTATCCTGGAGGAGATTGGTTCCCACTGCATGAGAGCTTTGGTTGCTGTTGATGACATCATGATGGCCACTACCTCGGTGTGCTCATGGTTGTCCTCTGGGTGACCGGAAAAGATTACTGTCTCTCCACTTGGTAGTTGGCACCTTCCAGTTCCGTTCCATCTGCTTTCGCAGATTCCCAACACTTCTATTCTATATCTTCTCATTTCAGCGGCTATCTGGGTAGCCTTTCCAGCTGGCTTCGTACATTGTACGAACATTCCAGGTACCCATCCTTACTTTTGCTTCCATCAAGAAAGCAGGCACATCGGCTGACTGGCTTCCCGAAGGCTAGCTTTCACCAGCCTGCGTCATTTCACTTCCCCGATTCCAGCGAAAAGTGAGGCTATTGTTCATGTTTTCAGAGTTTTAATATATTTATTCGTTGAAGTTTCTGTAGCGATTTGGTTGTTTTACGGGGGTGGAGTTGCTAGCACCACGCCCCAACCCTCCCTCTTTACCCGGGCTTGGGACCGGCTAGAAAACTAGAAAGCTAGTATCTGGCGAGGTTACGTAACGCACATACTGTCTGTATATATGAAAGGTGGCAACAAAGAACGAGGGGAAGATGGAGAGAGAGAGAGAGAGGGAAAATATATATAAGAGGAATTGTTAAGCTGTGTAACTGAACTGGTATAAATTATGAGCAGCCGTGAATTTTGATCAAAACGTCATCTAGTTGTTAATACTGTATTAGTGTGTGATATTTAAAAAATAAACCTAACTAGTAAGGAACTAGATTATACTAGAGTGCCCAAGTTCTACACTTACATTTGCGTAATTGGTTGTCAGTATTTTGGTTAGATCGATTTTTCCTCGATAAAACCCCATGCTTATTTCTGTTATTGGTTAAGGCTACCAGTGTTTACTTATCAGGACTACACTTGTGGTTACTTCCATTGCCTTAGATTCCAAACTTTTGCACTTTGTTTCAGAAAAATCTGGTTCATAGACCATGTTAATAACTAATTCAAAGGACAGAATTCCACTGTACACTGATACAGGGTACAGGAAAAGCATCGAGTGAATTAAAAGTTAAATCGCTTCGACTTCAGATTAAGTTAACTTAAGAGCTAACTTCATGTAAACCATGATCAAGATTTAACCGAATAGTTAGTTCCCCTAATAATCTTTTGAAGTTTGTGGTCAAATCTGCATCACGGTTCAAACATTTCTGCTTATTCAGTTTTGTTTTCCGTTCATGACTGACGTGATTGGACAAGGATATATATATATATATATATGCCTTGTTATTTTAATTTCTTTACCGCTGGGATTATTACTTATTTTAATTCCTCTCAGATTTTGCAAATACTGTGCAGGGAATATAGGTGTGTTGAACATAATCCGTAGAGACCTTTGAGTGACATCGCGCGCGCCAGACAAGCCATCCCTTTGGTGGGACACGAATTAGAAATGGCGAATTCAATTCGCCTACAGGTTGATGTGGAAGAGATAGTGTGAGGAGGAGACGCTAGCCTACAGGATATAGTGGAGCCAGGAAGCGAAAGACGACTGCAGAGAGCAAGATGAAATCGACATGTGCCACTGAAGCTCAATGAACATTCGGAGCGAAGGGAATAATAGTAATAATCATATATCTAAACATGTCCTTAGCCTAAACTCAATCTTTCTCTAATCCAGTGTACAACTAATCAGATGCACTGTCTAATATCTCATTTGTCTTCACAGAACAATTTTCCCAATGACTACACAGTATTATCCTATCTGGTTTCACTGACTTGCTCTGAATGAGAGTTTCTAGGTCACATATGTGAGTTGACGCCCCTGTTGAGTTTCTAAAGTGAAACTTCCTCGGGAAAACATAAACATACACATAAATAAGGAATACTGATGAGTTGCTGAGAAAAAAAAGGTTGAAATCACCTAACAATTTGCATATTCTTCTACTTCTTTCCGAAAGGAATAATTTCAGTTGACTTTGAATTCACTACATTTCATCGGGGAGAAAACTATCATTATTTATTCTTTCCAACCCCCTTCTAAACTCCGCAACATTTCACCAGAGTAGAATTAATCGGTATGTATCACAACTTTACTATAATTAATCTAAATTTTCAATAGTCAATTTGTAAGTTTTTTTTTTGAGTTTGACCACTGATTAACATCAGTTATAGAACCATTGAAGGCCAGCAGGGACTACTGGACAGCTGTTTCGTCCTAGTTTTGGGAATCATCAGCAGTACGCACCCACCGCCAGGGTTAGAACCCAGGACTAGATTTCCCAGTGGTTCTCTAACTGATATCAGCTCATGATGAAATCCTCCATGCAATCAAAGAAAAATCCCCTACAAAACCAAAACTTGAAGATTTGTATCTGGCTCAGGTGGATTAATGTTCAATAGTATGACCTTTCCTCAGTCACTGAGATTTAAGACTATTTTAACTTATCGTCATCAATGGAATGACTCATGTACCGGAATCACTCACTACCTTTTCTTTGCATGGTAAAAAATTCCCGAAAAGAATTACATTGGTCATAATGATAGTAAGATTGAACAGTAAATGTCAAATTACAACAATGCGTACTTACTATGCTCTGTTGCACACCAATGACGTATTTCATCCAATAAGCAGTCGAATAATGTAATCATTTGTTTAACTGCATGTAAATTGGATATTGAAAACAACTGTCTACAATTGGTTTGCATAAAATCTAAGCATGGATCAATAAGCCATTCAAACAAATCACTGACCAATTCTTTCAACTCATCTGATAAATTATTCGGTAACTGATAATCCATGTATGATTTAACCATTGGTCTCCAACCTAGTTGAGCTGGTTCCATATAGATCATACCACATCGTGATACAGTTGCTGGACTGGCCTGTTCTAAGTCTGCTGGTTCAAAGATTAAATTCATCAATGATGACATTTGTATAATTTCACCAGACATTAGGCAAAGCTTTTTATTATCATCCAGTACAGTGTTCATGTTCTCGATCCATACAGCATCTACAGGACCATCGAAAAGTATCCATTTGCGTTTATTATCCTCGGCTACAGCAAATTCACGAAACATTACAGCTAATATCCCATCCGACCATTCATGAGAGACCAGATCAAACTGACCGTACAATTGACCCATTGTTATAGCTTTTGGATTAATAATACCATATTGTACAGTGTGTTCATTCATTATCTGATTGTTTTCAACTAATGTTGTCAGCGTGTCTGCTAAGGCTTGATAGGCTTGGGTTTTACCGCTTAGCGTCTCTCCAACAATCATAAGACCATGGCGGACAAGAATCATTTCATAGATTTGTAAAATTTTATCCAAATACCATGGAACTGACTGAAGACGACGTTTTTCTAATTGTTGACGAAGACAAGCTAAAAAGTTATCATAATCGCCTTTGGGCAAACTGATGCCAGGAAATAGATCAGAGATGATACCTTCAAACAGTGGAATATCTTGTGACAAGAATTTCGGCAAGTTGACATCATTGATAGCCTTTAATAAGAGGACGGACTCATCCTCTTCCACATACTTCTGACGTAGATTACCAGCTGCTGTAAGAACAGATTTTACAGCTCTCATACCGTAATCGTAGTGGTGTTGTGATGACAATTGTTCTGAGCAGAGACGATAGGTAGCCACAATTTTACTAGCCAAACTGAATAAAATTATGGAACAAGAAAAGTTGTTAAATAATGCGTAGAGACAACGGTAAATCATAACCAACAGTTAAGAGTTATGATTTACGGAAGGACAATTATACATGCACTGGTAAAAATCAGCGGCCAATAATTACTGTCTTATTCTACCGACTGCCTATAAATTATGTAATCAATATTAGTTTCACCGTTATGATCGCACCTACGAATAGATGACAGTTTATACAGGACTGAGAAACGAACCACTCCATAGGCGTTCGTGCGTTTGAGCACACATTTATTCGGAAGATTGATGAAGAAAAATACTGTTCAAGTGTCTTGTTATTCTCTTGGGTTCCATGTGGAACATAGGACGTCAACAGCCTATCTTCATTTCATCCTGTTTTCTGCAATCGCCTTCACCTAGCTCCCCGATCACCCATGAGGTCTAGTCTCCTTCTCACATGATCCTGTTCATTTTACCCTCAGACCTATCTACACTTAGTCGGTTCTTACTCAGGTTCTATTTAGTGACACTCAGCGGTCCCCTCTATTTCCTTCAGCTCTTGATTGTTTCGCTCCATTGGTTCTTGTTTCAGATACATTCTGGCCATCTTATCCAATTAAGTGGGCATCTATTGACAGGAGTCTGCAATCTGGTAGGAATTACTTTTGGTGAAAGGCTGGGTCTCTGGCGCCTATAGAGGCAGTGACTTCACCATTTTTCCTCACTTATCCACGAAGTTATTAGAAGTAAGTAGTTTGTTAATACAATGAAATAATTTATGTTGAACAAAAACAAAGGGCAATGAACTCACGATCTGGCATCAACAAAACCCATTGAATATAAAGATATTTCTCCAATGAGTGCATAATCTGGAACCATCATAGCCACTGAACGAAACAAAACCTGAAATAAGAAAGACAGAACTATTGAGATATAAACGAATTGATATAAGAATTAAACTTGTGAACTCTGGTGGTAGAGTGTAATTCCATTATGGGTAAATTTTGTTTTGATAAATTCTTACAATGTGTTATAAAGTAATGTTTACTGATGACCAGGTTTCGAGCACCATTGATTACTGCTCATAATCATATCAAGGCACTCATATCAAGGCACTCTCTAGCTTCTTGACACACATAAACTCACAAGTTGGGGGAATAAAATTCACATTTGAATCAGAAAATGAACAAGGAGAATTAGCTACGTTAGATTGTAAGATAAAAAGAATAGAAGAAGGCAAACTACACACTAGTGTTTATAGAAAACCAACGCATTCTAATAGATATTTAGACTTTAATTCGTCTCATCCTTTAACTGTTAAGGCAGGCTTAGTTAAATGTTTAACAAACCGAGCAGTGGCACTAAGTAGCACAAAAAAAGATCTAAATGATGAATTAAAACAGATAGAAGAGGCTTTGGTGTTAAATAAGTATCCTTTAAAATTCATTAGAAAGATCAGAAAAGGCCAAACGGAAAAATAAAAATAATTGTGAAACTATTAATAATAGCATAAATAAGAGAGAATATAAGTCATCTACAGTTATACCATATAGGGAGGGGACATCTGAAACCCTATGCAGGATTCTAAATAAAGCAGGAATTAGGGTGGCATTTAAACCTACAAACTCACTCAGCTTGGACAAGCTGTGTAGGTTAAAGGACAAAATAATATAATTTACAAAATACCCTGCAATAATTGTGAGTTAGGTCAACTACATAGGTCAAACTAGTAGGTCAGGGGTAGTCAGATTGTCAGAACATAAGAATTTAGCTAAGGGAAGAATGGTTGACCCCGAGAAGATAAGTAATTTAGAAAAAAGCTCAGCAGTTGCAATGCATGCGCTAACACGCAACCACACAATAGCATGGTGGGAGAGGGTTAAAATCCTAAAAAGTAATCTAGATAGGTGGAGAGCGAGAGAGGTTGATTACTGAATCCTTGTTCATCGAGTCTACACCCAACACATGCAATAGGAATGAGTCATCACTCATACCTGAAATATGGAAAATACTATTACCAATCAAATCAAGTGAAAAATAATGGAACTATATAAATGAATTTAGGAAGTCGTGTGAATACCTTGATATGATTATGAGCAGTAATAAATTGGGCTCGAAACCTGGTCATCAGTAAACATTACTGCATAACACTGTGAGACTTTATCAAAACAAAATTTACCCAAAATGGAATATAAACGAATTGTTTTAAACAAAGCAATGGTTGCCCTTTGCGGCAACGCAAATACACTGACAAGCAAATGAATAGACTGATTGATGAACAAGAGGGAGAGCGAGCAGATGGAAAATAACGTCGTAGGATCTGGTTTGAAAGTTGATAAGCTATTCAAGGTTACAAAAATATTGGTATCTTACACCCATCCATAAAATAATAATAATAATAACGACTCAAAAACCTGAAGAATATAGGTGACTGCAAGTAAACAGTCCTTACGCATAAATCAACATTCAACACTCTTATTTTATTTTATTCCTTTTTGCGTTCCAATTGCAACCAACATAGGGCTTCATGTTCTGAAGTCCCAGTAAAAGTGGTGTTGATCTTCTTTTCAGAGTGGGGTTGCTAGCTTCGCGCTTAACCTTCCCTCTTAACCGGGTTCACCCACCGACTAAGCGAAGTTTAAGACTGAATTGGCTTAGAGATTGAACCCTAGGCCAGATGGGAGGTTGGTGACTATTCTACCTCTGAACCAAGTGAAGCACGTTCTGTATCATACCAAATATTTTTAAGCAAGTACTTCTCAACTCAGTGAATAGTTACCCACACAGGGAAGAAATAAAAGCCTAAAGATAACTCCTAGTGCATGATGGATTAGCCTCATAGTTGACAAGTCTCAGTTGTTTACAAGGCTGGCAGCTCCAAGGCAATAAATGGGGGCAGCCGCATACCTAGGTTTATTGCCTTTCATCATTCGTAAGCAAGGTAATAATAATAATAATATACCCAGACTTGGGGAAGAATAATTTCTCGTCACATTTTAGAAACTATGTCATAAAGTGTCGAACAAAGTAGTAGCAGTACCACTAGGCTTTACAGGCATACCACAATTAAAACAATCAACATGGAATCTGGTTATGGAGATTTGAACGAGTGTTCTGAATGACTGACTGACAGACGAACTAAGTGATTAAACAGCTTAAGACTTACACAGAAGTGGACTGGTTCAAGTTATCACATTGCACAAAAAATGCTCATATGAAAGTGGAAGGGAGTAGGTAATGAAACTAAAGTTAACTGAATGTTGAATATTACCCCGACTACAGGCAATCTTTTAATGTTATCTAAGCATTGTCCAAATCCAGTCGGTCGACTGATCTATCAGTCCTCCTGGCTTTATTATATCTACCTCACTTACAGCGCAAACAGCGATTCGTGCGCATGCTTGACGGTGTGTAATCATCTCTTAACCTTGCCTAGTTTACTAATTTGCTAGTTTTCTAGCCGGCTCCAAGCCCAGGGAAAGAGAGACAGTCGGGGCTGGAGCTAGCGACCCTATCCTGGAAAATCAGTCAAACTGATATAGAAACTTCAAAGCACAAGAGGTGTGTTAAAAATACAAAAAATATAAAACACAAACATATGCGACTGGAATCTGGGAGACGTAATAACTCAGGCTGGTAAGAAAGCCTTCAAGAAGGCTGTCAGCCAATATTTCTTCCTTCGATGAAAGTAAACATAAGAATGGTGACGTAGAATGTTCGTACAGTGTACGAATTTGAGAAAGCTGTCCAAGTTGGCGAAGAAATTAGAATCACCTCTTACTCTTACGGAAGGCCCAAGACAATGATTTAATGATGACATGTACGCATGTCTTTCGTCAGCAGAAATCAATAAACATTCCTTAAGGAGGTTTTTTGTGCGCATTGAGTAATGTGCATGGAAATATATCGTTAGCGCGCTATCCCTTACTGGGTGTGTGCGTGTGTGATCATTTACTCAGTTAATAGGTTTCCCTATGTGCAATGGACAATACTCCAGCTGGCGACATGAAAATACTAATGGGAGACATGAACGCCAAACTGGGACCAGACAATACGGGAAGGGAACTCATCATGGGTAGAGAAGCTCTAGGAGAAATGAATGAAAACGGAGAACTCTTCGCCGACTTCTGCGCCTTCAACGAACTGGTGATTGGTGGCAGTGTATACAAGCACAAAGATATCCACAAGGCTACATGGGTGTCACCAGACGGGCAAACCAAAAACCAAATCGACTTCATCTCAATCTCAAGGAAGTGGAGGCGCAGCCTACTGGACACAAAAGCAAGAAGAGGAGCAGACGTTGGCTCAGACCACTATCTCGTACAAGGGACAATCCAAATCAAATTAAAAGCTTTCAGGGAATCAGGAGCTGCAGATAGACCACAAGCCAAGTTCAACACTCAAAAGCTGAAGGACCAGGCTACAAAGGACATCTTCATTGCAAGCATAAAGGACAAAGCCGAGACACAAATCAACACTAGCGAAGAGGTCGGCGTTGAAAAGCACTGGAACAACTTGAAAACGGTGTGGAGCCAAACCTGCATAGAAATTCTAGGCAGAAAAAAGAGACAGGACAAACAGTGGCTCACTACGGACACTTGGAAACTAATAGAAGAGAGAAGGACAGTGAAGCAAAAGATTATCCAGTGCACGGACGAGCAACAAAAACAGGAGCTGAATGCAAGCTACAATACACTGAACAAAAGAGTGAAGAAAAGTGCCAGGGAAGACAAAAGAAAATATTATGAAACCATGGCAAACGAAGCAGAACAAGCTGCAGGCAAAGGAGACCTCGCCACACTCTACCAAACAACTAGGAACCTTTCGGGCAAACGTTCGACACAGATTAAGCCAATAAAGGACGACAATGGAAAGTCAATCACCAAAGAGGTGGAACAGAGAAAGCACTGGGTTGAACACTTCAAAAGACTTCTAAATCGTCCGCCACCTACAACACGTCCAGCAATACCAACAACGGAAGCAGAACTACCAGTGAACACTGACCCCCCGACGAAATCAGAAGTCCTGAATGCAATCAAGATGCTTAAAACTGGGAAAACACCGGGACCAGATGGAATCCCAGCAGAGGCTTTGAAAATAGACCCAGAGACAACAGCGGACTTGATGACACCACTACTGGAGAAGGTGTGGAAAGAGGGCAAAGTACCCGAGGATTGGAAGAACAGTTACTTATTCAAACTTCCAAAGAAAGGAGACTTAAGTCAATGTAAAAACTGGCGTGGAATTATGCTTCTGTCCATTCCAAGCAAGATACTAAGTCGCATCATCCTGGAGAGAATCAAACAAGCCCTAGATGAAAAACTTCGTCCGGAACAGGCTGGATTCAGGAGAAACAAATCATGTATTGATCAAATCGCCACTCTACGGATCATCATTGAACAAAGCTTGGAATGGCAGTCACCTCTCTATCTCAACTTCATCGACTTTGAAAAGGCCTTCGACAGCGTCGATCGAGAGGTCATTTGGAAACTACTTCGCTACTACGGGGTCCCATCGACAATTATACACCTCATCCAACAGTTATACGACAATGCTGCATGCCAAGTAATCCACAACGGGAAACTTACGGAAGCCTTCGAAGTGAGGACGGGAGTGAGGCAAGGCTGTCTACTATCACCAATGATCTTCCTGATTGCAATTGATTGGATAATGCGACAGACAACGGCAACCAACGAGGGAACAGGCATAAAATGGACTGACACAAAAGACTTGGAGGATCTGGATTTCGCCGATGATATATGTCTGATTTCCCATAAACTGGAAGATATGCAAATGAAAAGTAACAAGTTGGCAGAAGAAGCATCAAAGATAGGACTTCACGTGAACATAGATAAAACAGAGATGATGAAGATTCCTTGCCAACATCAACAGCAACAACAGACCACAATAAGCATAAATGGGAAGAACCTGAAAGAAACAACCTCCTTCACCTACCTGGGAAGCATCGTCTCAACTACAGGCGGAACTGACGAGGACATCAAAGCCAGAATCGGAAAAGCAAGACAAGCTTTCATTACTCTCAAATCTGTGTGGAGGTCAACAGCAATCAGCATCAAAAATAAGATCCGGATTTTCAACTCCAATGTGAAGTCAGTGCTACTATACGGATCAGAGACTTGGCGAGTCATAAAGAGCATCTCAAACAAACTTCAAACCTTCATTAACAACTGTCTCCGCTCAATACTCAAGATCAGATGGCCAGAAAAGATCAGCAACAGGGATCTCTGGGAGCGAACCAATCAGGAACCGATTGTGAAACAAATAGGCAGAAAGAAATGGAGATGGATTGGCCATACGCTGAGGAAACCATCAAGTGACATCACTAGACAAGCCCTCGAGTGGAACCCGAAAGGGAGGCGGCGAGTTGGTCGTCCAAGGGTGACTTGGAGGAGGTCATGTGAAGAGGAGATGAAAGCATGTGGGCAGACCTGGAGCAGGGTGAAAAAGTTGTCAGAAAACCGAAGTCAATGGAGGTGCGCAGCTGAAGCCCTATGTTCCTCTAGGAACTAAAGGATACAATAATAATAATAATACCTATGTGCAAACTAACCCGTAGTGTCAGGTTGTTATTTTCCAGATATCTTAGATAACTGCTGTTGGGCAGCGCTGATTAGGAATCATTATTTTTAAACCCGCACAAAACAAGATTTTGATGCAAACAGATAGTGTCGGTAGGATGAATGAATTAAAATTCCCAGAGTTTTCTTATTTTTCATTCCGACCCGAAAGTTAGACAAGTATGTATATGACTCGAAGTATTAATTAATTAATTAAATTAATGTCGGATCTGTCGTCCAGATATTTCCAATTAACAAATACATCCTAATCAATGTTTATCATGCACTTTTTTTTTTTAATGCGTATACAGTTAGTCGATATAAACTAACTTTTAGATTATCCGGCAACTCCTGACGTCCAGCGTAACCAGGATTCATGGTAATAAATATTGTACAGGTTGGATTTAAGCTTAACTCCGTACCTTCAAACACAAAACGTTTCAGTCCAGAACTAATCGCCATTTGGATACAGTGGATTTGTTGTGCCACTACAGACAACACTTCCAGTTCAATACGATTAAATTCATCGAAACATGCCCATGCACCAGCTTGTGCAAGTCCTTTAAAGAATTTACTCATTGCACGATAATCAAGACCATCAGAACAGTTGAATACTACACATTGTTTAGCAATAGCTTTAGCTAAATCCTAGTTAGAGAAAAGAAAAAGAAAGAGTTAAGAAACAAGAGAGATTATGATGACATCTTTAAAACAGAATATAATGATAAACTCTCATTATCTCAGAAGGTAACAGTTTGTTGTATATTAAGAGACTAAGTTAAGAAATGTGAAGTGCTAATATCAGATACCAGATACTGCAGATCGATTCCGTGTTATAGGGGTCTTGGGAATTGCTTTACCAACAAATAAATTCACAAAACATTTAGATTGGAGACTTTTTGACTCTATTAACGGTGATTGAATATATATATATATATATATATATATGCATTTTTAATACAATACAATTAGGCAGCTTCATCACTGGATTTGCAAACACCATCCCATATCATCACAGCTATGCCTTAGCACACCTTGTGTAACAACAGAAGACAAGGGCCAGGCAACAGATCGTTTTATTATGAAAATCAACACGTATTTATATATATTTCACATACATTATTATAGCTTATGCAAGTAGACAAGCGCAGTTATCTGATTGGTTGTTTATCAGAAGTTAGGCAGACAAACGCAGGCTTCTGATTGGTTGTTTCGGGATTCCTCGACAAATAGAGTTCTCTATCTGCGAATCATATTTTGCCACGTTAACTTTGCTGTGATTGGTTGTTGAATCAGCCTTGCTCATATTTTCTCACGGCCTGCTCTCCCCACACTTGTAGATAGTGAGCATAAAGTTGATACTAATAAAGCGCTTATAGTAATCTATCGCATTCCCAACAATGTTAATTTTGCGCCACGACTTCATCTTCTACAAACAGATGAAGCCGTCTCAATCCACCTGAAAAGGGCAAACCTGCATGTTCACACGAAATTTGTACAGCTAATTTCCTTATCTAGGTCATCACTATGTGAACGTAAAAAGTTACAAATAATTTCCTTCTTGTAAGCTTTTAATTATTCCGACTACTTCACCTTTAATCACTTATTGCGTAGTTAGTTTGAACACTCATTTATATCTTAATTACTACTTATTTTCGCAATTATTTCTGAGCTTTGATTGTGTACATTAATTCTCATGGTTAATTCTCACCCCAATTTGACATGTTGTTACTAACTAAGTATTGTTAACAAACTTATCAATATCACTAGATTGGTCAAACCTTTTGTTGTCTGGTTTGACCATGGCTTGATATCACTACTCCATGGTTTCTTAATGGTTCTCTGACTTATATTAATCCATAATCAGATTGTTTACAAGCGAACCCTTGAAAATTAATCTGATGCACACTAGTGACTGGGTGACTACAGCATGAAGTTGACTGGAGAGAGTTCTAGTGAGAAGTCATGTAAGTAGTGGGGTCCATCCAGTCGGAAGTGAGTACAAATACTTGCCGCCTATGACATTGGCTGGTGATAGCGCTAAATACATTACAGATTGTTGAAAGTTAAAGTTCTTGGGTCACTGAGCTGGTTTCCAGTGGCTAAGCAGTCTACAAGCTTGTCTTGAAACTGGGAGTTTTCCAGTTCGAAACCTGTCGGGTGCGTACTGTTGATGAGACCCGAACTAAGCCAAGACAATCTTCCACTACTGAGTGGTTCCCAGTGGTTCTCTAACTATTATCAGTCCATAGTTCCTACTAAATAACTTATTTTGTGTTGTATTAAAAATTGCAACATATATATCAGAGTAGAGACCTAAGGGAGGGTGCAGTCGAAAAGCAAAATTCTCTTCATTCACTCCTTTTGTACTCTAAATGTCAAAATGGAGACTTTCCCCATTTATATATATATATATATATATATATATATCCCTGATTTCATCACCAAGTAAAGTTCACATCAGTCTAATCACGACAATACATTGATTTTTAAGGAGAGGAAGACAGGTCAGATTATTAGAACATGAATAACACTATTCTTCTGCTTATCTCTTGCTGTTTTCAAAAACAGTTCTCTGTAGTTATGTGACACATTTTACTGAGATACTACTTCCGGTTAAAATCTGTTTGTTTTTAAAGTCTTCACATATTCTTTTCTTTAAGAATATTCATCGAGCAATCGTATAAATAGTCTATCCTTTAACTCCTAATAGGTTTACAACTTACATCACTTATATCATTATCAAGTAGTTATAGACAAAATTTGTAGCTATAGTGGATGATTTTGATTGTGTTCTCTAAGCCGGTTAATTTAAATGCGAAGCTTTTATTGCTCCCCCCTTACGGACAACATCTTCTGCTCAGATCTCAGCATCAAATCAACTTTGAATTGAATTCTGCATGACTGATAATATATATTAGTGCGTCTCTTGACAGATAACCTTTATTGTGACTGGCTGTTAACTTACATCTCTTTTGATCACTTTTAATGACTTGGAATGTGAGACTTCTTGTGATTTATTAGTTAGTAAATTTGGTCTATAGTATGTAGTGTGTTTGTTAATCGCTAGCTGATTTATATGAGTATCAGGCTTCTAGAAATTCCCTGATTGCATTTCTGGTGTTTCCTCTGTCTAAAATTTCTACATTCTGTTGATGAAATTAGTGTCAGTAATTGTCTACATGCATCGATATAAGGGAATGCATAGTGTACCTTTTCACAGTTACTGTATGTTCTTAGAAATTTAGAAACACAAGTATACAGAAAATCAACGCACACAGATCAAATACTCAACTATAATAGCGAAAACCCAAAGACCGACAAAAGAAACTATGCGTCCACATTGTTTAAAAAGAGTCCAAATACACTATAGTACTCCGGTGCTGAAGAGATGACAAGAAAAGTACCTACTGTCATCAATCTGAAGTCAACAGTCACGTCCATCTAAACAGCTCAATATATACAGTGAGCAGTCATACAAAAAGAAACGTATGAAGTTATTTAAACCTGTATAAAAATAATACAGGCCGATTTATAAATCAACTTTAAAAATAAACAATGGTAACGCATAGAATCAAAGCAGTTTACTTTGCAAGTTTCAGTTTTTCCAGTTCCAGCTGGACCTTCAGGTGCACCGCCTAGGTTTAATTTCAAAGCACCCATCAGAGTTCGATAACATCTATCCGTTAGTGGAGTTATCACTAACCTTGGAGTATTACCCAGATATTCATAACTGAAAAGAAAATTGGAAAATATGTTTGCAATAAATGTGTACTACTCTTGTTTGATATCAGTAGCCTGACTGTACTTCATGATAAAATTAAGATTTTTGAATATCTCTGCTTAGCTCAATTGAACGATTGGTAGTGGCTACCAACAGAAAGCCAGAATGAATGTTTCCTGCTATCTGAAACTTGCAGCTCCGAAAGGCTACTTGTTTCTGATAAGGGAAATTATTGAGAACTTGCCAGGCATTTAATAATTAGCCAACAAATTTTTGTGTACAATATTTAAAAGTATTTGTTTTTGTAGGGTTTTTTTTAGTTTGATTGGTTGGAGGAATTCATCATGCTAAAGAGTCCCAAACTAGGATGAAACGGCTGCCCAGTACTTCCAGGTTTTACAATATTTTATACACTGGACGTTGAATGCTCAACCGTTAGATATTATATGACTATGAATATTGTAAGGAACGCGTCATAGAACTGTCATACTCTCACTTTCAGTTCTCCTCTTACAATATATTAAAACTGAACAGATGCCGGTTAGGTGAACACGATGAGGTATTATACAATATCCATCCGTGGTCGCACTCGTAAAAACAAATCTAATCCTTACTAAGTAACTATTGGAAATTAATCTGATGTTTGCTAGTGACTTGTAAAAGGCGTTCTAGTGAGAAGTCGTGACCTCAGTGAGGTCGATCCAGTCAACTGTGTGAGGATGGATGTCCCACCGACGAAATTGGTTTGTGTATGTCGCGTTCAATCATGAATTGGTAGAAGTTAGAATTCAAGGGCTAGTCGTTGAATCGGGTTCGAATGGCTGAGTTGTATACAAGCTTGCCTTGTAACCGGAAGGTCCTGAGTTCGAACCTCAGAGGTCGCGCACCTCCGGTGAATAACAGACTAAGATGAGACATCTGTCCAGTACTCCAGTGCTGGTTTTCAATGGTTCTCTGATTGATAGCAATCAGTAGTCCAACTCGTAAAAGCCATAAGAACTTTTGTATTTTCCATAGAGTGAGAAAAGAAAAAGAAACTTTTCCTGACGTTTTGTTATTTAATAGGGCAAATAGCTTAATCTGAATTAATTTTAATTAATTTGATTTTTTAATTTTTTATTTACAGCTTGATTCCACACCGTATTTTCGGTGCAAGTATGGAATTTTCAGCATGAATATCGGTAGCCCAAATTTTGCAGGCCGACCATAGATATCAGGTGCGCGCCGGCGTGGGCTTGAACCCCGGACCATGTGCATGGTCGGCGAGAGTCCTAACCACTGTGCCACCGACGCATGGAATCCACGTTTTATAAGTGAGAATGACAGATAAAAGCGTGATATGACCTGGTTCCAACACTCCTCCTTCACACCCAAGAAGTGACAGAACCATTAGCACAAATATCATTAGCTATTTCATTCCACATGCTATTTCAGGCATTTATTAGATCCATGAGTCGGTATTTAGTTTGTTATTTTTACTGGCTCACCAAACTGAAAACGTAAAAATTACCTCATTCTAAAGAATTATGTTAAAGTTACTGTTTATAGACTAGGATTTTGTATATTATGGTTTAATATTGATACTTTGATAAAACTATTAGCCGGAGTAAATAGTGAAAGCTCATTAAAAACAATACTGTTTTGTTTATTCATTCACTGAGGAATACAAAACGTTTTATAATAATGAACACCTTGTATTCAGAGCTAAGCTTTTTTTTTAAAAAAAAAGTGTTTAAATACTTTGATTGAACAGTAGCTAGTGTATACCCAGTATCATTCGTTTAGTCCTTTGTCTGGTGCAAACTGAGTTCTCTTAGTCAAGTGTGCAACGTGATCACCATCCTGGCTAACTTACCATCACTGTTTACTTTGAATGGTCGTCATTAGATGGTGAGAAGCAATCGACAGGGGGCCATGCCTAGATATAGGTTTCGTACTTGGTGGTATTTAGCAGTCAGCAAAGCGTATCTGCAGTTTCGAAAAGACTCGTGTTTCTTCTGAGATTCGAACCCCCGTCACCCGATACTGCAGTGAGTGACGTTACTACTGAGTCGTTCACGTTAGCATCCAACCTCCTGTAGAAGTGTATTGGATACTTTGATCGGACACTTGGTAGTAACTAGTATTTAGTGTAGTGCTTCTAGTCCTTGGTTCTGTGCAAAATGAATTCTCTCAGTCAGTTATAATATTTTACAGAGAAATTTTGTCCCACCATAGTCAATATAAACAGGTCCCAGCGGCTTAATGATGTACGAACTCATCTTGTAACTAGAAAGTCCTGGGTTCGAACCCGTGTGGGTGATTACTGATGAAGAAGAGTCCCAAACTAGGGGGACTAAACAACTGTTCAGAACCCCAAGAGGTTTACTAATGGTTCCCTAAACGATGTCAGCTCATAATGAAATTCTGTAACTGACCATATTTAGGGACATCAGTAGCGCAGAAGTGAAATGCTCACCAGACACTTACATGTTCGAGGGTTCGGTACCCAGCTGATGCACTCCTAAATCTCGCTTAGCTGGTAGTAAGTCCGGAAACTAGCAAACCCACCCCGTAAACGTAGGACCAGTACTGCCAAAACTTCAAAGCTTTAGCTTCAAGACTTTTGTTCCACTGGGAACGCAAAGGAATAAAATCAATATATATATATAGTGGTTCGCACATTGTAATTTGATAAAAAAAAACTTTTATTTCGTTCTAGTACCAAAGTAAAGCGTAATCCAACTTATCTGTTTTTATTAACGGAACAGTGGTTTCACTACACTACATCACATAAAAAAAATTCTCTTATGTTGACAGCTTCAACGACTATTTTGAAAAATCTACTGGAGTATTTGCTCCTGTATTCTATCTTTGCTGTGTGTTTTAACTGGCAGGCATTCACAAATGCTATCTATCACCTTCACTTACTTAGCTAAACTTTTCCTTTTATTTGTTCTTTTGAAATTTGTGTCAGGAGTATATGTATCCACATATATATATATATATATATATGTGTGTATGTTGGTCTCTCTTTCTGTTTGCTCTCTTAGTCTGTGACCATTTCACGTGTATGAACTTGTCTCCTTTAATAATGTGTATTCTCCTTATATTATATTATATATAATATGAGTGTTTGTTGACAGTCCGTTGCTTGGTGACATATATCCATATTATATGTGTGATTGTTGACATGTCTGCTATATTCGCTATGTATAATTGGATCGATACTCCATTATAATTAGCCATTCATGTTAAGACTGTCTATTGATCTGTTCACACACTTGTCTGGACATTCATATATATATTTCGTCCTCACAACCTTGTGACTTACACTTACCACTTTGGTGTGATACCACTATTTGCATTCTCCTTGTGTTTGGAAAATAGAAGTATCATCGCAAACCTAGTGGTCTTCTGATTTCCGCCTTCTTGCGTCAGGACTATTAGTTTCTCGACCAGTCCATAACAATAATTTAGCGACGAGTACATAACAATTTGGCGACGGGGAAAACTAGTACATAACAAGGAGGCACAGAATTATGTGAAAGGGAGTTTCCGGCTGACCGCCTCAAACAAATTAAAAAACCTTGTACATTTTACTGATCTGCACTTATATATATATATATATTTGTCCCATAACTAGTTGTTATTGACAAGAAGAATATAACATATAAAGATGTGTATATGGTTTTGTTGGTGCCCGTCTTTTATTTAACCAATAGTTGTATAATCCTATGATATCGCTTTAACCTTTTTTTGTTTTTTTTTGGCATTCGCTCTACCTCGAAAGAGTTATACACTTATGTTAAATCATAAATAATTGACTGAAATTAACCTCTATCATGTATAATAAATACCAGGTGTATTTCACTTCTATAACATATTATTTAGGCACATTTCGAGGGGGGAATAATCAAAACGTTCCTAGTGTTATGGATCCTGTAACATTCTACTCATCCAAAATAAAAACTACGATCGAATTGTGATTTATGGAAGCACAGATGTCGTAATGAATTTATAACAAAATTCTCAAACAAGAAAGACGATATAGGATTTCACTTGATTCTACTAGGCAAACTAACATGACATCATCAATAATGTGCAAGATGAACTTGAAAACAGATGCGGACAGTGGTAATATGACTATTTTTTTTATGCAGTACCAATAAACTCAAAGTTGAAATACAGTCCATTAGTTTAAGCTGTCAGATTCCTACCAGTTGGTCACGCATTCGATACCTGCTAGGCCCGTTTCAGCCTGGGAAACTCGGAAGCATTGCAATGGTACAACACAAGAGTGGTCGATAATGGATTGGTTATTTGCAGCTTGATATACGCATATAGGGGAATTGTGTATACCATATATGAAAATTGTCATTTACACTGGTCTCCAGTGCTCTTTGTAATGTGTTTCTCTGTATTCTTTAGGTGTCTCACGTGTTTCTCAGCAATACTGATTCATTCCCTCTCTGTGACGTCAAAATCTACTGTTTGGTATTTTTGTGCCGATGAACATCTCCTCATATACTACTGACAAATCTCGTTAGTAGTACGAAGTATGGCATTAATGGCCCTCACACTATATGTGGTCAAGATAATTACTTCATGGTTTTGGAACAAATTCAGAGTTCAACTGCAGCTAAACTTGGATGAGTTTTCTATCATGTAAATGTAAATGAACTTCAAGACAATGATTACTGTCAACTTGCTTAACATTCAACACAAATCAATAATATTCAAGTGTTGGTTTGTAGGGATTTGATTGGTTTCAGGATTTCATCATGAGCTGACATGATGTCCAGTACTCCCAGGTTTTCCAATGGTTCTCTAACTAATGTCAGCTCATGATGAAATCCTGAAACAAATCAATAGTCCCTGAGGTGTTTGACTTTTCAGTACCAATTCAGTTTAAATAAGACCACTTCAATTTTTTTTCAAATTTACAGCATACATTTAAAATAATTAAACTAACCCGTAATCCAGCTCTGTAGTAATTTGGCATACAGTAACCTTTGTAGCTTCTTCAGGTGCAAAATAGTATCTTAACTGACTTAACCATTCAAAAGCCTGAATAGAGTTCACTTTATGCTGAACCATGGATGCCACAACATCACGTGCTATAAAATTAAAATTCAAACAACAACAACAACGACAATTATATTAACAAGAAAAGCAGAAGTTCTGATGAATACTCAGTCTTTATATGTAGTAGAAGTATTAACAAAGTCATACATATACAAGTTAAAGCCATGATGACCAATATGATTAGTTTACATTCAACATGTAGGGTAGTTTCCAACTTGTTCATTAGTGTATGTAAGCCTAGTTCGATTAGAAGGTTGTGTGTCATTTGTTTCCACACAGTAACGTTAACCACATGTCTAATTTACTCTTACCTGGCTCATTGACGGAATCTGACAACACCATAAAAGTAACACCGCCAACGTGTAATCGAATAATGTGTCAAAGAAATGCAAAAACTACTCAGTGTTTGCTTCAAATTAATGAAATGGTTATATCACAGATCAAGCACCAGGACAGTTTAATAGACGTGTTCCAAGAGACATATGGATTGGATTAGTGGATCTATCAGCCAAATAAGAAAAAGTAATTGCGCATTTACAGCAAAACAGCGAAATACTTTAAGGCAAATAGACGGATATATTTGGAACCAGTTAATGTCAGGAATATCGTTGATTAGGCGACCGTGCATCTATGCTGTAACAAAGACATATACTGACTTCAGATTGGGTTCTTATGGTATCATGGGTGAGTGAGTCTATGTTATGTACTTGTCGCCAAATTATCGCTATGTACTGGTCGAGAATTTAATAGTCCTGACGCAAGAAAGACGGAAATCAGAAGACCACTAGGTTCTATTTTCCAAAACACAAGGAGAATCAAATGTATCACACAATAGTGTGAGAGCAAAATATATATGAATGTCCGAACAAGTGAGTGAACAAATCAATAGACAGTCTTAGCATGATTGGCTAATTATAATGGAGTATCGATCCATATATACATAGCGAAATATAACAGACTGTCAACAAACACACATATTATATATAATATAAGGGGAATATACATTGTTAAAGGAGACAGGTTCATCAAAGTGAAATATATATATGGATACACATCAGTCTACATCCTGGGTGACGTAATAAATTAGTAAGGCGGTGAACTAGGTGAACTCAATTGTTATTAAAATTCAAATTCTGGCTATTTGTTAAAACCTTATCTCAATATTATTATTATTATTGCTCCCTTGGGTTCCAGTGGAACATAGGGCTTCAACTCCACGTCTCCATTTGCTTCTGTCTTCTGCTGTACTTTTCACCTCCATCCATCTTAGTCCATACTGTTTCAACTCCTCCTCACACGATCTCCTCCATGTCACCCTTGCAATGACATCCCACTCGCCGCGTGCTTCCCTTTCGGCATGGTTCCACTCCAGCAATGGCCTGACGCGCGCGCGATGTCATCCAGCGGTCTCCTCAGCCACGAGTGTCCATCTGCATCCATCTCCACTTTCTCCTGCATATTTGCTGTTGGTTGGCGATTGGTTCTTGTTTTGTTTGTTCCCATAGTTTCTTGTTGGTGATTCTTTCCGGCCCGGCCCGACCATCTGATCTTCAGTACAGAGCCAGCGAAGACAGTTGTTGATAAAGGTCAGCATGCAACGGGCTGTTGGAAATATTCTTTGTGACCCGCTCGCCAACTTTCTGATCCGTTCTATACAGAAGAACAAACTGACTTGACGTTTGTATTGAAAATCCGACCGAATTTTGTTGTTGATATGACGTTGAGTGACGAAGATTTCCAGATTGGTTGTTTCAGGTTGATGAATGAATGTGTTTCTCGCCCCCCACCCGATTCACGCTCGATTTGACATCCTCGTCCTTTCCGACTTCCTGTAGTTGAGACAATGCTCCCTCCTTAGATAAGTAAGTGGATGAAGTAACCTCCTTCAAATCCCTCCCGTTGGTGGTGATTGACGCTGGATTTTGCTGCTGTTGTTGTTGGTTGGTTATTTTCATAACCTCCGTCATGTCTATGTTTACCTGGAGTCCTGTCTTCGCCGGCTGCTTCTTCGACCAGTTTGTCGGTTTTCGCTTGTAAGTCTCCGATTGTGTGTGACATCAAACACAAATCATCGCCGCCCGAAATCCAGGTCTCCTAGGTTCTTCACGTCGATCGGTCCAGGATATCCCTCCCTATCTTCTCGTTTCCCACTCACTGTCTGACGCATAATCCAGTCAGTCCACCACAATTAGGAATATCATTGGTGATAATAACTCAGCACCCTTGTCTGACTCCTGTGTTTACTCCAAACGCCTCGCGGATTGAGTTTTCCGTTGTGGATCACTTGACATGTGCCGCCGTTGTCGTACAGCTGTTGAATAAAGTTGATGAATGTTTGGGGTACGCCATAGTATTCGAGTAATTTCCAAGTTACTCAACGATCAACGCTGTCTGTTGAAGGCCTTCTCATAGTCTATAAAGTTGAGGTAGCTGAGGTTTGATCGCCATTCCATGCTTTGTTCTGTGTTGATGATGCGTAGAGTTGCAATTTGGTCAGTACATGATTTGCCTGACTTTCCTGAATGCAGCCAGCTTGTTCTTGGCTGGCGGAGTTCTGTCTCCAGTGCGTCCTTGGCTGTCTCCAGGATGATGCGACTCAGGATTTTACTTGGCGTCGATAGGAGCATGACTCCTCGCCAGTTCTTGCAGAGTCGGGCCTAAGTCGCCCTTCTTTGGTAGTAGTTTCACGAGGTAACCTTTCCTCCAGTCAGTAGGCACCATTCCCTCCTTCCAGACCTTTTGCAATAATGGAGTCAGCATGTCTGCTGTAGTCTCTGGGTCTGCTTTCAGTGAGTGCTTCAGGGGTATTCCGTCTGGTCCGGCTGCTTTTCCAGCTTTCAGAAGCTTGATTGCATTCAAGACTCCAGTTCTCGTTGGAGGATTGGTGCCAACTTGCAGTTGTGTGCGCGCTGTTGTTGGTATTTCTGGACGGGTTGAAGGTGATGGTCGGTCCAAGAGTCGTTTGAAGTGGTCCGCCCATTGGTTAATCTGTTTTTCTTCCTTGGTAATTGGGTTCCCTTGGCTGTCTTTTACAGGTTTCATTTGTGTTGATCTCTTCGCGGATAGAGATTTGGTCATCTGATATAATGTCCTCAGGTCCCTTTTGTCTTCTGCCTTCTCAGCTTCAGTGGCCATGTTGTCATAGAATTGTCTTTTGTCCTTCCTAGCACTCTTCTTCACTTCTTTGTCCAGTGCACAGCTGTGTACGTTGAGCTGAGCTGAGCTCAGCGTCTCCTTCTCCTGTCCGTCCTTGCATTGAATCATTTTCTCTTTCACCATTCTCCCCTACTCTATTAATTTCCAAGTGTCCGTCGAGAGCCATTCCTTGTCTTGTCTCTTCTTTCTTCCTACAACCGTTGAACACGTTTCGTTGAGAATCGCCTTCAGAGACTTCCAATGTTCTTCCACACATGATTTTTCAGTGATGTCGCGTAGTGTTTCCTGCTTTGCTCTGACAGTTGCAGTGAAGGTGTCTTTTGTGGTTGTCCTTCAGTAATCGAGTGTTGAACTTGCATTGTGGCCTATCCCCAGCTACTATCCTCGAGGCTTTTAGTTTCACCTTGAAAGTCCCTTCTACTAGATAGTGAACTTTACGAGTTGATCACGGATTGATATCAGTTAGAGAACCATTGAAAACCCGGGAGTACTGGAGTGCTGAATGGTATACGAGCTTGCTTTGTAACCGGAAGGTCCTGGGTTCGAATCCTGGCAGTGGGTGCGTACTGCCGATGATTCCCAAACTAGGATGAAACAGCAGCTGTCCAGTACTCCAGTTCTGGTTTTCAATGGTTCTCTAACTGATATCAATCCGTGATCAACTCGTAAAACATAACTAATCCTTACAAACCAAAACTATAGAAAGATAGTGAACTGTCTGAACCCACATCTGCTCCTCTCCTTGACCTTGTGTCCAGCAGGCTCCGTCTCCACTTTCTTGAAATTGAGATGAAGTCCATTTGGTTTTTGGTGTTTCCATCTGGTGAAATCCATGTCGTCTTGTGTATATCCTTGTGTTTGAAAACGCTGCCACCAATCACCAAATCATTGAGGGAGCAGAAGTCTGAGAAGAGTTTACCATTGTCGTTCATTTCACCGAGGGCCTCTCGACCCATGGTGAGTTCTCTTCCTGTGTTGTCTCCTCCCAGCTTCGTATTCATGTCGCCCATCAGGATTTTGATATCGCCATTTGGGACGTTGTCCATTGTTGCTTGTAGTTGTCTGTAGAACGCCTCCTTCTTCTCTTGTTCTGAGACGTTTGTAGGCGCATAGCATTGACATTGAATTACTGTAACTTTCCTTCCTTCCTTTTGAGTTGAACCTGGCTGTCATTATCCTGGAGGAGATTGGTTCCCACTGCATGAGAGCTTTGACTGCTGTTGGTGACATCATGATGGCCACCCCTCGGTGTGCTCGTCGTTGTCCTCTGGGTGGCCGGAAAAGATTACTGTCTCTCCACTTGGTAGTAGTTGACACCTTCCAGTTCCGTTCCATCTGCTTTTGCAAATTCCCAACACTTCTATTCTATATCTTCTCATTTCAGCGGCTATCTGGGAAGCCTTCCCAGCTGGCTTCGTACATTGTACGAACATTCCAGGTACCCATCCTTACTTTTGCTTCCATCAAAAGAAAGCAGGCACATCGGCTGACTGGCTTCCCGAAGGCTAGCTTTCACCAACCTGCGTCATTTCACTTCCCCGATTCCAGCGAAAAGTAAGGCTATTGGTTATGTTTTTAGAGTTTTTAATATATTTATTCGTTGAAGTTTCTGTAGCGATTTGGTTGTTTTACGGGAGTGGCGTTGCTAGCACCACGCCCCAACCCTCCCTCTCTCTTTATCCGGGCTTGGGACCGGCTAGAAAACTAGAAAGCTAGTAATCTGACGAGGTTCTTATCTCAATAGCTTTCCATCATTTCAAATGTCTATTCTATGGCTGTATTATTATTCTTTATTATCTTTTTACGTGCTTTTTTAAAGTATTGTAACCTGAATTATTGCCTGTTGGTGAGAAATTCTGTACTGAGTAGAAGTGTAATCATATGCCATTCAACTTATTTACGGGGGGCAGGGTAAAATATGCTATAAACGGATACTGGGATACAGTTCTCCGAGATGGATAGTTTAATTGAAAGATTTTCTTGTGAAGAGGTGTAGACGAATGCATATTATGGCTTTTGACTGTTAGGCTATATTCGTGGTCATGAAGACAAACTGGCACTCAAGGGACATGACACATGGACAACTACAGACATCACTTCAACTGGGACAATATGAAAATCTCTGACAGAGGAGATGCAAAGAACTCCAGAAAATTCCCAGTGGCTTGTTGAACAAACCACTTTGCTATCAATACACAAGTTGATAGAGATCAAATTTTTAATTAATAAAAAAATAAGCCACACGGTTTAAAAGTAAAATATAGGGTTAGCAGGAAGATCAGTATCAACGCAACTGAATGAAATTATACTAGAGTCACCGGTGATAACCAATAGAACTAAGCCTCAGAAGAACAGACGGATATTTTATCCCTTCAGAATTTTAAAAGTTCACTTTCCCCTGAAGATGTTTTGCAGAAGGATAACAAAAGCATTGGAATTTAACTTTCCACCCTAATGGATGCAATAAAGCCCAAAAAACATTACACCTGAGCTACGAATCTTCCTCAAAGCTTGCATATAGTGTAACTAGAATTGTTGCTTTTGAAATATATATCCCGGGGATTTTGTTTAAAAATACAGTGCCTTCAGATAGAAACCTACTGCTGTACAGAAATCAACTAGATTCAATCAACCGACTTATACCAACAGCTGCAATACTACTAAACTGTTCTACTGGCTAAAGCCATGCAGAAGTACATCAGTTATACACAGTTTTAAGTCTGCAAATGTATTCCGAAACATTGTCCACTTTGACAAGCCATATGGGGAAAAGAAGAATACCAGTACCTTGATCCTAGAACGCCTTGTGAACTCTGAATATTAGGCAACCCCGCATAGCTGCCCCAGAGTGTCAGCTAGAGTTCTTCAATATCCCACATATAGACTTCGAATATGCTATCTATATATCAGCCTAGTCACAGGCTCTTTGGGTTCTGAGACCTAGCCTTTTCTTTCGAAAGCACTACACATATTCACTTATCTTAGCGTGACCAGAGTAATATACTCACCATGATTGTTTCATATGATTAAGTTTATTATTATCATCGTTATCAATATTACTGTCTGTTAATAACATTGCATTTCCAAACATATTTTATACAAACACTGTCGTCTTTCCACTAGTTTTTATCCACTCTACTTAGTTATACTGATTAGTCGTCTTTTTACACTCATTACGTCATCGCAACTCCTGTCCCATTTACCTAGTCTCCATTTAGTCATCCCCCTTCCGGATTACACCTCGCATTACGCAATATATTTCATAGGACAAAGTTACCAATATCTGACTGGCCTTATAAATTCTCTGTTAAATATAAATACCACCGTAAATGTGACCCTTGAAATTGATTTATCAAAAAGTTGGTAATTGTTTGACAAGGCGAATTCATATTTTTCAGAGTCTGTATTCTAGGTATCTGCTTAGCAGGTTTTGAAGTTTCTTTTTTCTGCCAATGACTGTGGAAGAAAGCTGTTGCCAGTGGCGACACTTAAGCCAACTGATCACTTGGAAATATTCTTCTACACTGAGTAGGAAGACAAACAGAAGACAGATTTGATTGAGACAATTGCGGGAACAACAACAACCTTATTCTTCAAAATGCAGAGTAGACTCTCTCCTACACATCAACGGAAATTTAAACCATAGATAAATGATCGGATATATGATTAAGAGACATAATTAGTCCGTCCTAAAAGATTCATATTGTGCTTCCTCTTCTTCTTCATTTTCTTTATTCATTCGGAATTTTCACTTCACCAGGATACTTTACTTACCGTGTACATCAATGACCGTGAGTGCACCAAGCGTAATCCTTTCTCCACTAGTTAACTGACCTCTGACTAATTTCACAATATCATCAATCTGTCGATTACATTTTGCATGATATTCGCTTAGTTTATTTTTACCCAAAGAGTCTTGTACTTCTTCTGTCCAGTAAATACAAGAAACACAGACCACAACCTATTGACAAAGGCGAGAAAAAAGACAAAGGTGATAATGTGTATTGCACTTTATGTATAACTCACTGAAAATCTGTTTTTACGTATAACTTAAATTGTGAAGTGAACAGGTAATGCAGTTTATCAACTTTAAGGAAGTTTGTACAGTGGGATATTAAAACAAGACGCCTAATTGCGCGGCAGCTTTCACTGACATCTAGTTGTAAATATTAAGGAGTGACTGGCTTTACGGCAGCATACTTGAATCACTGGGGTTAACAATGCATAAAAGTTTCTTTGTGTATTGATTGATCTAGAGGCTTGACTAATTTCCACTGTATGTGTTCCATTGCAACAACAGAAGGCAAGACATGGGAGTCAACAGATATTTTCCGTTGATCAAACCACTGTTTATAAATTTACACCTTATATTCCTTTAACCAGTCACAGAGCGTGTGATTTCAGTTTACACAAGATAACATGAAATAGAATGCTCAAATATACATAGTATTCTGTTGTTAATGCAGTCAGTAAGTATATAACCGTGGGAAATGTATTCTGACTCTAACATCAAATAGAATGTTGAAATAGATATATGGAGTATTCTGTTGCTAATGCCGAAATGAACTGTGGGAATATGTGAGAATAATATTCTGTTTGGAACACCGTGTATGGATCACACCACCACAACATGTCATTTAGATATCAGGCAATTATACTTGACAGCACATTGCTGCCTTTCTTCATACGGAGTATCAATGATTTCTTCCAATTTCCAAAAGAATTACATAAAATCATGTGTCACAAAATGTTTGTTCACTGTTTACGAGCATTCCCATTGAAGAAACGGTGCTAATCACATACCAGCACTCTGACCTACTTCGTCTTCCTAAAAAGCAGCTACACAAATCACTACAAATTACGAAGTAGTTCTTTGTGCAAAGAATGTTCAGTTTCGATTCAGCAAACAGTTGTACGGGCAAATTTATAGGGTGTCTATGCGTTCACTTTAAGTCCTATTCTTGCAGACATATTAGTGGCTTGCTTATCTTGAACAGACCCAAATGAAGCCGAAAATAGAGAGAGAGACGCCTGTTATTGCAGGTATTTTGATGACATGTTTGTGGTTTGCACTACCATGGATCACATATCCACTATGTTTTAAAAACTCAGTGTGACTTATTCTCACAGAGTCTTTACACTGGATCTTCAATGTGGGAATCAGTTTCCCTTCCTAGACCTCAAAATAAAAAGAAGAAATGATGGGATGATTGAAAAATCCGTCTATAGGAAAGGAACTTAGACTGGTCAATGGTTGAATTATGAAAGCTTTCGCCCAATCAGATACAAACGTATCCGGTAAAAAAAAACGCTGTCCTGCAGAACTGGGAGCTATGTTCAAGCGATACGATTGAAGAGGAACTAGCAATTATCAAAAAGAACCTTATCAAGGATGGACATCCTCAAAAGTTCATATTAAAATATGGAAGTAAGAAGAAAACGCCTAGACCAAAAGCCGAAATAGCTGAAAAGAAACCTGTTTTTATCTGTTTAGCATACAAAAAGGAAGAAGTATCCAAAAGAACCGAAAAAAGAACTGAGGGTGTTTTGAAAAGAATATTTCTGGCTGCCGTACTCATTCCACTTTATAACACGGTATGCTCGTTAACTCAGCCAAAAGCAGATAAGTATCCTGCTCTACCATGTCAACTCTAACTGGATTTACCAATCAACCTGCACTTCTGGTAACAAGTATTTTGCAAGGACTGAGATAAAAGAGTCTACTAGATCTTCTGAGTACATCCCTTAAAAATTCTATATGCAAGGCAGCAAAGTGTTCTCAAGTGCAATTGCCAGACACTTAACTGACGCAGTACATACAGTGAAAATTATTCAAGTCTTCAGGATAATCAATACACAGTGAAAAGCATCGCTATCAAAAGATTTTCTACCCAACATCTGCATAAGAGTTTCTCAATTCCTTTTTGTTTTAACCTTTCACTTTTGCTCACGAGTTACCAAATATACCCGTATGTATTTTTCATTGGCTTTCAAAATACCAGTCCACATTTCTCAGAGACGGAGGAAATATTCCACAAGGGATTGGTCTATGCTTCAGATAGAACAGCATTGCGTCAAATGAGTTACCGTAGATTGCCTTTTTACTTTAAGATCATGAATGAGGGTAAAGTATTGTTCAAGAAACTGTTCTGAAAATTCCGGATACTTTATAAACATTTTGTACAGAGTGAAGATGGTATTATTGTTTTTATTTACATTATAATGCTTTACGTCACAGTCATACACTATTCAACTGAAAGCTGAGTTAAGTTTACTAAAGCGTTCCGATAATTCTTACTCAAACCGTAATGTATGGTGTTTTAAAGACAGGTGAGCAGACTAAAGTCTCAGTAGGACATCCACCGATAGGTATATAAATTATATTAGCAACAGCGTATAAATATTAATGCAGACGACACACCTGTTATCACTGTTCCAAGTATTTTCCCCTTTCATAACCCTTTTTCCCTTGTCTTTTCAGTTCCTGCGATCCAATTTTCCCTCTTATCAGCTACCCTGATAATGTATCATTAGATATTCTATATACACATATTCTGATAAGCAGTACACATAGTGGATGTCCTGAAATACTTTGATTATGTGCGATTGTACACCTAGATTTAATAGGCATTGAACACCATTCTTTTAATGTTTTTAACCAGCATGAAATTAAAAATTATCCTTGTGTATGTTTCCTGAAACTGGATTTACGATGCCATCTGTTTAGACAGATGAATAGGATGGCAGAAACATGACACTAGTGTTGACAATAAAGTTGTTAATCATTGAAATATGTTTAAAAAAAGAGTTAGGCATACTTGACCTGGCCAGTCGAGTACCCATTTTTCTCTTGGAGTTTCAGGATAGGCGTATACACTGTCAGCAATAACTTTTCGTAAACTATTGAGCATCACGTCTTCTACTTGTAGTAACCATTTTTCAACCATACCCTGTGGAGAAAAGAAAAAAATTACAAGACGTGTGTGCTATTTATACTGAACTAAATAGGTCAGTAAATGCATAATACTGTACCATTTTTGGGTTTCTTATCAAATGAACTTATTCTGTAATGGAAGCAGCGCTTCTAACCCATGCAAAATAATCAGCCAGTGCCATTTATACTTCTCTTATCTGTTTATACCTTTAAATTACTAATTTTTTAACCATCATTACGACCAGCATTCTTCATAAATCTGTCCTGCACTCAACCAAATACATAAATTTATCATGTCACTCCAATGATATAATAAACCGGCATTGTGGACTGATTTTCGTTTACTGGTAATTTAGTGGAATGGTGAATTGCAGTGGAATCCACCGGGATGCTCTAGAGAATGCACCTACATTCCCCACTGAGCGAGTGAGTGAGTGAGTGAGTGATAGTGTTACCTTGCTGAGGCTCGAACAGACTAGCCATAGTTAAAAACGCCAAAGTGCTATGCACTAGACCCTTACTTGGGCCACGAGGGTCACCTTTTTCTTGTGCAACGCATATAATTTATTATTTTATCCAGTTTGAACTTTCCAGTTGACTAGTAGACTTCTGTTTGACATGTCCACTCCTTGTATCTCTAAAAGTGAAAAATTATTTCATACTGCGCGTGCTGTTAATGGAATGAAGAGTCAAATTTAGATGGAAGTTAGGTGACACACAGTTAGTAATTCAGATGAAGTTAAATACACAAAATAGATTGAAAAGTGATACTCATGTGACTATGCAGGAAGTAATTGACTGAAGACATCTTTCATGAAATGCTTCTATCGAGGCTGTCGCAGGATGTACAGATAATGTATGGACGATAATTCAGACAATCCTTGATGGCCTTCCAAGAAAAATTCTGTGAATTCCATTTGTTCAAAGGTTGGTCTCTACATGAACTGAAACCAACAAGTTCTCTGACTGCTGCTGAAAATATTCTGGCTTTATTGTTGATGAACGAAATATTCCTATACTGAGTCAGAAGAAAAAAAGACGTAAAAACGGAAGAAAATTTTCTCCCCGTCTTACACGTTTTTTCCTTCATTGTTGATGTTTACCCAAACGGAATAATCATTTAAACTTATTCGGTTCTTACTAGGCACTAATAAGTTTAAATTTCATGAATATTATCAAGGAAGTTATGACGGTTGTCAACTCTTTTGTTTTACCAACCTCTCTCTGTTGGTCTATGATCTCTGTTTTTTTCTACGCTTTCAACTTCATAATACTTTTTACTGATGAGTAGTTGTAATCTTAACCAAAGTGTTTTATTATCACTGGATTATATTTCAGTCAATATACTAACATTCTGTTTTATGTATGAAGAATTTTCATCTTGTTATCAGTCTATAATACTTGGTTCACATATCCCCGTTGTATTCCGCTATCTTGTGAAACCTGTTTATTTCAACTCTTTGTTTGTGCTCTATACATTTCCCAGTGTATTATTTCCTGTGAATAGCTGTACAATCACAATAAGCATACATAAGTTACCATATTTAATGCGGTTTGAACTTTCCTTTCGATTATTCGAACAGAAGTGTTAACATGTCGGCTTCTTGTTCGCATGCTCTGACGATGTTTGATTATTTCACTTGAAGAAAAGTGGAGGTTGGTGACAAGCAGTAGAATCCAGGAGTTGTCAGCTGGCTGGATATGCCTGCACTCCCAAATGAGTGTGTAGTGGTGTTCCTCCACCTCACTGAGTTTCGAACCCACTCACCATAGTTTAAAAACGCCAGAGCGTTATCCAATCAATTAACCGGGAAAGTCTAAATTGAATTAAATAATAATTATGATAATTGAAACATGTTGCAAAAAGAAAAGGTAGCCTTCATGGTCCTAGTAGTCTAGTGGATAACGCTTTGGCGTTTGAAACTATGGGTAGTGGGTTCGAACCTCAGTGGGATGGGGGAACACCATTACACACTAACTGGGGAGTGCAGGCACATCCAGCTAGCTGATGATAGGGCGAAATACACGTGATCCTGAATTCCACTGCTAGTTACCACCCACCAAATTACTATAAGTTAACATAGCTAAATAGCGAACAAGTTGAAATTTAAAGGAGGAAAATAGTTTTTCCGTAGGCGTAAATAGAGGCAATTATTATTATCATAAAGGGGCATAGAAAACCAAATAACATAGGATCATGATCTCACTTGTGTAATATGCGTAATATACACGTTCTGATCAAAACTATCTGTGATTAAAATAGACTATTTTAAATTGTAATTGTGCAGGTATTAAAAATAAAAATCACCGAGAATATGGCTTTGAAAAAATCTACGGCGGTAAAGTAAGTGAAGCGTCACTTTTTATTCAATATTTCCATTTACACTATTCTGTAACATGCAAATATAGGAAATTTAAGTATATAGGAGAGATCATTTCTGTTTTAATGCCGAAACCACCTTTTTTAATAGTCAGATGAAGTTGACAGTGTAAAGTTTGATCGTTCGACTTAACATGGTCAAACTTGGGCGCAAATTAATCACACATTTAATAAAATCAGGTGACTACTTGGCTGATGGATAGATCAAACATCTCACACATTTGGAAAGCATACAGAAATTCAGGGGAGTGGAATAAGGAATACTACAATAGACAGATACGAATGTAACAAAGAGGATAATTCACTAGGAATTAATCACGACCATTACAATAAGAAAGATGACAGAGCACGAACACATATGTGACAAACAAAACGAGTTTTCGTTATTTCACCAAGAATTTCTGAGTATTTATTCTTGGCACCTCATTGACACAATCCAGCTCTACGCGAGCAAACACTGAATTCATCTGCTGATATCTAGCTTTGTTTTGACCCTCTGTAATGCAGTTTCTGACCCAGACCTGTATATCTCAGCTAATACTACGTAGTGAAAAACTCACCTGAATAAGCTGTTGGAAGGCTACGAATCATGACAGTAAAAAGAGCGTAAAACCAAAAGTAAAGTACAATTCTGAAACGGTATGGAAATTAGAATTATGAGCGCAAGAAATCAAACTAGAAATTATGGTAGGAAAACAAATGAGCTTAATATATAACTAATAATGAAGTTGTAATACTTGCGAAATTGGAAAGGATGATGGACGAAGGCGACGAAACTGTCTGTCTGTCTATCTGTTTTCGACATAGAACTTTGCACAAATGTGCGGAAGTTCAAGTCGCCACATTCCGTGTAGCACGCGAAGCAAGAGAAGAAAGTACAAGAAAAGCATAATAGAAACAGTGAGCAGAGGTGTGAGACAAAGGAGTAATAAGGAAGAACAAAACAGTTTCATTGGAGATCATAAGTCACAAGGAGTGGATGCATCTGCGCCACTGAGAACGATTTTGAGCCATGTCACCAATTGTTTCCAACCATAGATTTTTACCGTCCCGAGGACCCCAGCCTGGAAGTCTACACCTTCCTACGTGGCTTAGACCAACTGTTGTGGATTTCATTGACTGGTGCCAAGTTTTTGTTTGACCGCCGCTAGCTTTTTTCCAGCCTGACCCTATATCCGCTAACATTGCTCGTCGAGGGAGGCGATGACTAGGCATACGTAACACATGTCCTAACCATCTCAGTCTTTGTAGCTTCACGACTTCGTCGATTGATTTCCCCTGTTTACCTAGAACTCTACGCCTAACCTCCATGTTGCTCACCTTATTATGCCACTTTACACGGGAAATAGAACGCAGGCACCTATGATCAAAGACAGCTAGTCTTTTCATGTCTTCCACTCTCAGTGGCCAGGTCTCACAACCATAAAGGAGGACGGAGCGGACTGATGAGCAGTACACCCGCCCTTTGGTCGATAGTCGAACATCTCGTCTACGCCAGAGTCGGCGTAAACTAACAAATGCGAAACGAGCCCCTTGTATTCGTGCTGAGATTTCGTCAGAGATCAACCCGTTGGGGCTGATGGTACTTCCCAAATAAGTGAAGCGGTCAACGTGCTCTACCACTTCACTTCCTATTTTTAAACTAGGCGTCGATGTAGTCCAGTCCTGTAACATCATCTTGCATTTGGCGGGAGCGAATCGCATGCCAAACATTCGTAGATTGCGGCTCAAGGTGTTTAGAAGACTCTGCATTTCGTCAGCGTCTTCGCCTAGAAGGACTATATCGTCTGCATATTCCAAGTCAACGAGATTATTCCCCGGTAGCAAGTCAATCCCTGAGTCGCTGAAGTCACCTAGGGTTAAGTCCATTAACACATCTATGATGAAGTTGAATAGAAAAGGAGATAATGGGCATCCTTGACGGACACCACTGGTCGTCATCAGTTCAGATGACAGCTCGCCGTAAGCCCTCACCTGGCTGTATGAGTACGAGTAGAGTGCCTTAATCAGTGCAATATATTTTCTCGGAATTCCCTTTACAGCCAAGCATCTCCAGAGAACTTCCCGATCGACAGAGTCGAATGCTGCCTTTAGGTCAAGAAATATAATGACTGTTGGACGCCGGTAGGAATGCCTATGTTCTAGAATCTGTCGGAGGGTGAAGATATGATCAATACACCCTCTTCCTGGTCTAAAGCCTGCCTGGCTCTCTCGTGTTTGTGCTTCCCGAGCACCACTCAGTCTACGCATGATTATTGAGCCTAAGACTTTAGATACTATATTAGTCAAGCTAATCCCTCTGTGATTATCACAGGAAGACTTGTCTCCCTTCTTGTATATGGGGATAATCAGTGACTTACACCAACCCGATGGGACTTCTTCTGATTCCCAGACGCTGCCTAGTACCTCAGTTAATCCGGACAGTAAGCTGTCTCCACCGTACTTAAATACCTCTGGAGTCATTCCATCAGGTCCCGCTGCTTTGCCTAGTTTCAGATTGGTGACAGCTTTAGTAACCTCAGTTAGTGACGGAGGACCTGTGTCTATATCCCATTCAGGGAGGTGTTGGATGCTCGGAAGGTTGAGCGTGGCTGTGGGCAAATTAAACTGCTCCTCATAATGCTCTTTCCAACGATCCAGTCGTCTATCCTGGGAGCTAATTATAGTGCCATTTTTTTCCGAGATTGTCTCACTGATGATTTGTCTTCTCCCACCCGTTTCCCTGATGAGTCCAAAGAGTTGCCTGGTGTTGCCTATCCTCGAAGCTTTCTCCATCTCTTTGGCTTTTGTCGCCCACCACTGTTCACGGTCCTTGCGGAGACTTTTCGTAAGTTTCCTCTTGTGCAGCTTTCGCTCCTCATTGAATTCGGAGCTCGCCGGAATAAGTCTTCTAGCATCTATCAGTTCGGATGAGGCGGTGGAGATCCAGTGGTTTTTACTCACCTTTGGGTTTACCTTATTCACAGCTTTTACAGCTGTATCTATGGCTGCCTGGATATTTTTCCAAGCTTCTTCAGGGTGAGCACAGCTGTCGAACACAGATATGTGTTTAGCTAGTTCTTCCTCAAATACGGATTTAGTTTCCTGATCGAGCTGGGGACGTGATGGTTTTACCGCCAGCTGTTTCCTACGTCCGTTCAGTCGTAAGCACACCCGAGCGCGGACCAGTGCATGGTCGGTATCTACGCACGTGTTCCAGAAGGAGCGACAATCTCCTACCGACCCACGCCAACGATAGCTTATTGCTATGTGGTCTATTTGTGTCCAGCGTTGGTTTGATGAAGGGGGTCTCCAAGTCAAACAGTGTCTCTCCTTGTGTTTGAAGTTAGTGCTTACAAGAAACAAATGATTATCAGAGCAGAACTGTAGGAGACGGTCACCGTTGTCGGTTCGCTGGCACGGAACTCCATAGGTGCCACCGACATCCTTCTCAGATTGACACAATTTCCCTACTTGAGCGTTAAAGTCACCAGCTAGAACGACTATGTCTGAGCGTTTAGCCTTTCGCACCAAACTAGACAGCTTTTGGTAGAACTCATCCTTCGTTTCATCTGAACTGCAGTCAGTGGGGGCGTAGGCGGAGATTACGAAAAGGCATCGGCGAGTAGTGCAGTCCTTCCTCCTTCTTACTGATCCGTTCAGGCGGACAGCACACATTCGGCTATCTACCGGGATCCAGTCAAGCAATGTCTTTTCTGCCCTAGTACTCAAAGCTATCCCTACGCCAGCTAATCCTCGTGAACTAGCTGTGGCATCTCCTGACACCCTCAAGGTGAATTTTGCAGATTCAACCTGTTGGCCAGGTGGGGTTAGGTGAATAACCACACTTGGGTCTTGTATGCGTGTTTCTGAAACACAGCATACATCAATGGCTCGTGATGCCAGGGTCTTGGCTAGTGATGCTTGTTGTCCTATTTGGCAAAGTGTCCTAACATTAAGAGCTCCTATATGAAATTGGTGGCGCGGCTTTAAGAGGCTGTCGGTGGTGGTTTTTTGGCTTCCATCGTTTTTAGTGGACGCAGAGTGGAGAGGAAGTGGAGAGCTATCAAGTCGAGGAGTTGCATCAGTGGAAGGAAGGCAAGATGATAGAGATGAAGATGAAGACAAAGATGAGTGAGTAATAGAGAGGTTTCGTGTGCATTTCGGATTGTGAGGGCGATTGTTACTTCCCGGCTGCCCACACCGTGGAAGTTGGTTGCGTGACCGCAGAGCCCAGGGGACAACTGCTTGAGGCCGGTCACACGCGGCCTGTTTTTGTTTGTTCTTTTTGTTTGGTGTGTCTCAGTAGCAGATTTATCACTCCTGCCCTGTGACACGGCAGCAGGAAGCGCGGTCGTTGTTAATCCGGGCCACGGCCGATCCGGCATGAAATTTTGTGATTTTGTATTGGACATGATGTTGGATTGGGTAGCTGCTTTTTGTTTAACCGCTATCCAAACAACCTGCCTGGCATGGTAGGACCTCAAGAGACATAAGTCTCAGCCAGTATAGCTTGAATAGATCATTGCGGTGTTCAAGCCCGACCACCACGTCAAGGTAGCAGCTTTCGGTCGACGAAACTGAACTTTGCATAATTGTAACTATTTAGATTCATAATGAAAATGGTGTATATCAATACAGTCAATCAGCTTAGCTTGGACTACCCTATTTAAATCGCAATCAAAATTATGTTTTTATCAGTTCAAATATTTAAATCTACACCGAATTTATACCTCTGCAAGAACTGGCGCGGAATCACGCTCCTGTCCACGCCAAGCAAACTATTAACTCACATCATCCTGGAATGACTAAAGGATGCTGTGAATGCGAAACTCTGTCCAGAACAAGCTGGATTCAGGAAAAGCAAATCATATGCGGATCAAATTGTAATTCTATGCATCATTACCGAACAGGGCATAGGATGGTAGCTAAATCTCTACATCAAATTTCATCGGCTATGTAAAGGCCTTCAACAGTTTTGACTGAGAACTAGTTTAGAAACTGCTTGAAAACTACGTAGTGCCGATGGATCCACAGCGTAAAACTCAGTGAGACGTTTGAAGTGAATACAGGAGTAAGACAAGACTGTCTATTATCACCAATGATATCCCTGATTGTGGTGGACTGGATTAGGCGTCAGACTGTGCACAGGCAGCGAGAAGACAGGGCTGCTCTATTGGATTTCGAGCATGGATGATTTATGTCTAATTTTAAATAAAATTATTTACCGGCGAAAACCAACAAACTGGCTGGAGAGTCTGGAAGCGAAGAAAGGACTCCAGGTGAACATAGACAGGAAGAATGTGATGAAGGTAACCACCGCCAAACAACAGCATTAACAACAACCAGCACCAATATCACCATCAACAGGAGAGATTTAAAACAGAGGTTATTTCCTTCACTTATCTTGGCAGCCAGCATCGTTTCAACCACAGGCAGTCTAAAGGGATGATGACACCAAAGCCAGCCAAAGTTGGGAAGACAAGTTACACTTTTATCGATCTGAAATCAGTCTGGAAATCAGCTACAATCAATAATCAGCTTAAAGAAACAGTTTCGAAGTTTCTACACGAATATCAAGTCAGTCAGTCAGTCAGTCATTCATTTCTTCTATATGGATAAGAAACTTGGCACGCCTGTCACGACAAGTATTTCTAACTGACTAATGCAGATTTTTTTATCAACCGCAGACTCCGCTAGCTGGCTCTATATCAAAGACCAAAATGACTGGTGATAAGGATTAGCAACAACAACAAAAACTAAGGAAATAAACTAATCGAGAACCTATCTCTCAGTGAATCAGGGCAAGTAATCACCTTAATATCGATTAGCCTCTAGAATAAGTTTAAATTTCAATTACTGTCATACTTGTATCAGTTAAGGGATTTTTATCCTGACTAAATTTATACCAAAAAAGATTACACCAAAGTTATAATCTACTTTACCTTAGCTTTGGCCGGATATATTTTCGTCACAAATGGTACACATTCACCTTCAGCGGATGTCATCCCAGTAATTTCTTGTTGTTCTGTAAACATAAGTCGACTGATACCTGAAATAATGAGCAGGGTGAGTACAGACAACTGAAACAGTGTTTATCTATGAGAAAAAAAAGTAATGAGCATTATAATTTTAAAGATGCTTAAGTGTTTGACTGTATGCATAGTTTGGTTCTAGCATTACTGTTAAATTGCAGATAAACATGTTCTCCTCTTTGACATTATCTACGTCCTGTCTTAGGTGGACTGTTCGGCTATGGGAACGGCAGTTAGAAATAAAGCTTACCGTCTCTATTATATTTCTTCGGTTCCCGTCAGTTGCACGCAGCCTTTAATACTGAACAAAACTAATTAAAATACAGTTTTAACAGACACTTTGTTTATCGCCATGAGTCATGTTCCCCACTAAGGATTGAATGTTGCAATGAAGTCATATAGTGAAACAGAACACAAGGATGATGAAGTTATCTCAAATTTTCAAGTATTGGTGGTTTGTAGGGAGTTTTGTATTGATTGGTTAGAGGATTTCATCATTGAGTTGACATCGGTCGGAGAACCATTGGAAAACCTTGGGCTATTAGGTAGCTGTTTCCCCCCTAGTTTTTGGGACTCTTCATCAGTACGCACCCACCGCGGGTTCAAACCCAAGGCCTGGTTACAAGGCGAGCTAGCTCGTAGGCCATTAAGCCACTGAGACCCAATCCAAATGCCCATGAATTCTAACTTCTGCCAATTCATGACATAGAGTGACCACTTCGCAATGTCTTTTTCCATGAGTTACTGCCTCAGGTTCAACCTGCTGCGCCCTACTGGTCACGCTTCCAGCTAGAACCTCAGGTTAACTGCCTGAGTGGGGCCAGTCACTAGTGAGTATCAGATTAATTTTCAAGTATTGGTTTTGTAGGGAATTTTGTTTGATCGGCTGGTTGTACACAAACATGTATATTTTTGTAAGGGTGAATTTTCTGGCCAAAAGTGAACAGTGTTTTTGTCAGGGTGGTGATAAACCAGTGATGATTGCGTGATCGAAGATAAGAAAATACAGTGATTAGAATGCATAAGACTGGAAAATCAGAATTTAGTGTTTACGAAGTCAAATGGAGAGATGACGATGTAATACAGCCTGGGAGGATTCCGTTTGAACATGTAGGTCAAGTTTCGTTGCGATATATATGTCCAAACCAAGTTCAGTTTTAAAGGTTTGAACAAATTTGGGCATTGGGTGGTATATTATATTCATTATAATAAAGGTTTTTTGGCATTTCCCAATGAATGAAAAACAAAACGATATTGCTGTTTTCACTGACGTTTCGCTATTTAATTCTGCTGCTAATAGCTTTATCAAAGCAGTATTATTAAACCGGAATTTACAAAATGTCAGCACATATATAATAACAAAGAGTTTTGTTTTTCATTCATTTGGAAATGCAAAAACCTTTATTATAATGAATTTCATTGCGATAGTTTCAATAAACCGAAGATAATTTGGGATATTTGTCTGTTAATTATTTCGAATTCTCCTGGTGGATCTACTCGGTGTCATGTGTATATCAGTTGTTTGGTAACTGACAAGATTTAACTATTCCGCCCCTCTCCTTGAATGCTTTTGCGTAAATATTCAAAAATGTGTAACTTCGTAAACACGAAACTTTGATATTCTTTTCTTGCAAGGTCTAATCACTATATTTTATGATCTCTGAATATGAAATTATCAATGACTTATCACTCCTCTAACAACAAAATCGTTCACCTTTCACGAGAAAATTCGCACTTATAAGATATATATATATATATATATATATATATATATATGTACCAGTAATGGTTTGAGATAATCTAATCATCCTAATGTTTCATTTTGACTAACTGTGACTCTCTTACAACAATCCTTACTTATTGGAGAACCAGGTTCTTGAAGATAAGCCAAATATATGTTAAAGCTAATGTAAGTATAGAACTTGGGCACTATTGTAGAATGTAATTCCATATTAGATAAGTTTATTTAGAACATCACACGGTGATGATGCAATATTAACAACTGTATGACGTTTCCAGTATTAATTATTCCTCATAATTATATCAATGTTGTCTAATACATATTTTCTCTCTTTCTGTCTCTCTTTACAAATTACCTTTCTTGTTTGTTGCTACTTTCCGTTTCTCCGGTATAGGCTCCGCGTCATTCCAGCCTCATTGAGAATCCCACGTAAGGTTGGAATTAGGGTTGTATTATTATTATTATTATATCCTTTAATTCCTAGAGGAACATAGGGCTTCAGCTGCACGTCTCCATTGCCTTCTGTTTTTTGCCAACTTTTTCACTCCGCTCCAGGTTTGCCCACATGCCTCCATCTCCTCTTCATATGACCTCCTCCAAGTCACCCTTGCACTGACGACCAACTCGCCACCCGCTTCCGTTTCGGGTTCCACTCGAGCGATGGCTTGTCTAGTGATGTCACTCACTTGATGGTTTCCTCAGTGTATGGCCAATCCATTTCCATCCATCTTCCTGCCTATTTGCTTCACAATCGGTTCCTGGTTGGTTCGCTCATTTCCAGATATCCGTGTTGCTGATCTTTTCTGGCCGGCCATCTGATCTTGAGTATTGAGCGAAGACAACTGTTAATGAAGGTTTGTAGTTTCTTTGAGATGCTCTGTATGACGCGCTGGCCAAGTCTCTGATCCGTATAGTGAGTGGCACTGACTGACTTCACATTGGAGTTGAAAATCCGGATCTTAGTTTTGATGCTAAGTTCTATTGACCCCCACACAGACTTGAGAGTAATGAAAGCTTGTCTTACTTTGATATCCTCGTCAGTTCCGTCCTCCTGTAGTTGAAACAATGCTTCTCAGGTAAGTAGGCAGTTGAAGGAGGTTGTTTCTTTCAGGCTCCTCTCATTTATGCTGGGTGATTGTTGTCTGTTGTTGTTGTTGTTGTGGCTGTTGGTGTTGGTGTTGGCCAGGAATCTTCATCACCTACCTCTGTTTCCTCTATGTAATTTCAACCAACCAACTGTCTTAGACATACACTTTGTTGGCTTAAACACCCAATAGATCCAAGTAAGCAAAATAATATTATTTACCGAATACCATGTTTGAAATAAAGCTATTATTATTATTGTATAGTGTCTGTGAGTTCAATTACGTAGGCTAAACTAGTAGATTTGGGTCAATTAGATTATTCCAACATAAAAATTTATCCAGGTCTAGAATGATTGACTCTATCAAATTAAATATTCTATCACAAGAAGGATGTGTCTACAAGCCATGAACTTCTGTGACAACCATTGAAAAATGAAGTATCAATTGCTTTATAGATTTTCAAATCGTTTCTTCAGTAAATTCAATAGAAAATTAAGTCATCCTACTGGAATTTTATATAGCTTACCTTCAAAACACTTTTTCAAGTGTGGCTGAACTCTCTGAGGATCTTTTGTTTCAGATAATATTTCCAACAGTTCATCATTTGATAAGAAGAAGAACCTAAAAAAAAAAAGAAATGATAACCAGATATCCAATAAATACTTTTTAAAGACTGAATTGTCAAACTACTATACGTAAGATAAACATGGCCTGTAGCCTGTGTTTTTTTCCTATTTGGAACTCGTCATCCGGATGTGCCTACATCGCAGTGATACTGTTCTCACTGAAACTCTAACTCACCGTCTATCTTTTTAAATGTCAGGGAGACATCTTTTAGGCTGCTTAGCTACAGCAATCGCTCCTTGTGGAACATGTATCACTGATTATCTTTTGAAAACTTAATAGCATCCAAATCCTCGTTCTTGTGGAATGATAATGCTGGATCGGTGAATTTATACACGGTATTAGCTCCAGATTAGAAAATGCGGCTAAAATGCTGTCTCGCCATACAACTAACACCATTTAGTAAATCATCAGGAATGAAGATTTACTGTTAAATCATCCTGGTGTAGATATGCGATCTTATACAAAGTATAATATTGAATCCGTACAAGCTGAACACAAAATTATATCCATCTCGGTTGACATCAATTAGAGAACTGTTGGAAAACCAAGAAGCATTGGATAGCTGCTGAGTACTGATGAAGAGCTTCAGATTTAGATGAGACATGCAGTTAATCAAATCCCAGCACTTGGGAGTATGTACCCTCAGTTGAAGTGTTCAATAATTAAGTCGCCGGGTTATTGACAACTCAGTCAAGCGTACACAAAGATTAAATTATTTTCGGCTACAAGGTTTTACTGGCTAACTTACATAAATTGAAATTTTCAAAGAGAATTCAAAGAATCATTCATGAGAGATGGAGCGCTAGTAATTTTGTCTATTTCTGAATAATTTGTGGATGGTGACTAGCAGTGAAATCCAGGATGCGCACTTCATCCCTACTTGGGACTCGTCAGCCGGATGTACCTGAATTTCCCAGTAAGTGATGATTTCCCCACCGAGGCTCGAACCCAGTGCCCATAGTTCGAAACGCAAAAGCGTTACTCACCACTTGGTCCACGAGAGTCACCTCTTGAGCATTGGGTCAAATTAATTAATTATTTAATTGAATTTTTGATTTTCCTGGGGATTCATTGGACTGAAGTGCTCGGTCTCAGGTTTACATGTCAGCTCCTTGTGCAGATGCTTCGTCGATGTCTGGGCACTGAGTTCGAGCCTCGGTGGGAACATTTCACTGACTGCGGAATGCAGGCACATGCAGATGATGAGTCCTCAAAATAACGAAGTGCGCATCCTGGGTTCCACTGCTAGCCACCACCCACCAACTAACTTCTAATTACATGCTCAGACATCGTCGAAGCATCTGCACAAGGAGCCAACATGTCATCCTGAGACCGGGCACTTCGGTCCAATCAATCGACGGGAAAATCTACATTTCAATTATATATCTGAAAAATCCTTGACAGTTTTATACTGTTTTGCACCACAGGAATTTTTTCTAATCCTTTGTGCTCCGAGTGGAACATACGGCTTCAAGCCACAAGCTTTGAAGAATCAGTATCGGCGGTGTTCATTTTTTTTACTGGGTGAAGTTGCCAGTCTCATGCCCAACCTTCTGTGGTGACCGAGTATACTACCGGATGCTGCTACAGGACTGGACGACGTCAACCCCTAACTTAGTGATAGGGAGTGAAGTGATAGAACATGTTGACCACTTCACCTACTTGGGAAGTTGTATTAGCACCAACGGACTGATTGGCGATGAAATCTCAGCACGGATCCAAAAAGCTCGAGCTGCTTTCGCTGACCTACACCATCTCTGGCGTAGGCGTGACATCCGGTTATCAACCAAGGGACGTGTGTACTGCTCATCAGTTCGCTCCGTCCTTCTCTATGGCTCTGAAACATGGCCAGTACGCGTTGAAGACATGAAAAGGTTGACTGCTTTCGATCATAGATGTCTGCGATCTCTGTCTCACGTTAGGTGGTTTCACAAGATAAGTAATGTTGACGTTAGGCGTAGAGTGTTGGGCAAAGAGGGAAAATCAATCGACGAGGTTATAAAGTTACATAGACTGAGATGGCTAGGTCACGTGGTGCGCATGCCTAACCACCGCCTTCCCCGACGGGCATTGTTAGCTGATATAGGTTCAGGTTGGAAAAGAGCCAGTGGTGGCCAAACAAAAACGTGGCATCAATCCATGAAATCCTTGACAGTTAAACTGAGTCAGTTAGGGAGATGCAGACTTCCGTGTTGGGGCCCTCGGGACTGACTCTAGGAATCAATGGCTGGAGACTATAGGTGACATGGCTCAAAATCGTTGTCAATGGCGCAGATGTATTCAATCTCTGTAATCCTTCATATCCCTTTCTACCATTACCCATTCTGTTTCACTCTTATACTTGTCAGACTATATTGATTCTCTTCACTCATCTTCTTGTCTACCTCTGTGTGCTATTTGGAACGTGGCAACTCGAACTGCTGCACTTCGGTGCCAAGTTCTATGTTGAATCCAGACAGACAGACTACCGGATTAGGGAGGTTTCAGTAGTGCATCAGACGGATATTGAACCCCAAACCATGTGGTTGGTTGGTGAGTATTCTACCACTGTACCAATGCACCTAATCCAGGAATTAGTTTCTGTAAGCGCCACTATTTAACAAAACTAAACATAAAAAGGCATGATATTCATCAGCATATGTTCAACTAACCGAGGAAAATATAACCTTTTCTTTTCCAGGTAATCATTTAGCCCTTTCTGAATTTCTTCAAGTAGTAGATATCCATCGGTTAAACGTCGTAACATATCTCTTTGATCTGTAGCTATTAAACAACTTGGATTTGCAACCGCTTCAGTCATTATTTCACGCCATAATACATCAACAACACCAAATTTACGACCTTCTTCTGGCATTTGTGCTAGAATATCTTCAGATGAAAATATCGGTTCTAGATACAACCAAGTAGCTTGCACCTAAATGGAACATAAAAAAAACACACATATCAGGATTAATGAAGACTTGTCGCTTCACTGGTCAATCGGCAAAGTGATACACCGTCTTCATTTTAAAAAAATATAGAAGATGCCAGCAATAGTCGTTCTGTCTGTGTTCGAGACCGTGTCAGAGGGTGAGGATCTGATTGATGTACTTTTCATTAGGGGTTAACGTCCAGCTGTCTTTCTCGTGAGTGATTTTCTTAAGCCCTAATTTGTTGTCACAGGACTAGGAGACCAAAATTCATGAATACTATAGTCAGTTTCTTTGTAATTTTCACACTCGTTGGTGGCACAGTAGTTAGGAATCTCGCCGACCATGCACATGGTCCGAGATTCGATCCCTTGCCGACGCACACGTGATATCTATGATCGGCCTGCAAAATTTGGGCTACCGATATCACATGCTGAAAATTCCATACTTGTACCAAAAATACGGTGTGGAATCAAGCTGTAATCAAAAATAATAAATAAATAAATAAAGGAATGCTTATTTTCAAAATCAGGTGGTATGGATTTTTCAGTAATCCATTGGCATTTACCACTGTTCCCAGATCAAAATAGATATGCTATCAGACTCTCTCTTTTCTCTTTTCCTAATAAAGCCTTAATGTTTATATCTGAAAGCTGAAAACATAAATGCTCCTCAGCTGCTTATTTACTACGTCCATTTAGTCGGAGGCATACATATGCATGAACTAAGGCGTGATGAAAACCCACTTAGTTATTGCAAAAGGAGGAGTAATTTTCCACGGAACCACTCTATAATTAAATTATAGAAAAGTGCTTAATCTTTGACCTTTGATAGATTGATATTGATAGTCACCAATACACTTTCTCACCTTCGGTGTGACTTTAGTACTAGCTAGGAACGGAGAACTATTCGAACAAGTGGATTGTTAGACTTACTCAGATTCTGTACTTGAGGATTAAAATTAATGTCCTGAGATAATTATGCCTGAGTCATTTCCTTTTAGTGACAGACTACCCAGTTCATAAAACTAACCTCTTATTTCATTTTCACTGCTGTTAATCAATGCTCAGGCTAAAGAAGATGAATTGATTCAGCTGAGGTTAAATCGAGTGCAGAGTTCTCTACTCTGGAGTTCAATACCATCACTAAATCAACAATTCTACTAGAACTATCCACAGAATCTTGTAACACATGTAGGATTGAATTTTTAGATTCACTGCACTGGCCAGGTGGAGTTAAGTTAATAACTACACGAAAGTCACGTATATGTGCTTCAAAGGGATAAAATATGTCTAAGGCCTGAGATGCTACAGTTTTGTCTGACTAGGCACGAACTCCGAACATTGGAAGCACAAATGTGAACTTGGCGATTTGTAAGAGGAGAATTCAGATTTCTTTTATATTAGTTACTAATATTGATCACAAAGCTAAGTAAAGGTGAGGAAACTATCTGCTAAAACTGTAGTTCTTGCTTTGTTCAAAATGGTATTAGTTAAATGAACTCGAGAATACACAGGTGTGTGGTGAAAGGAGAAATTTTGTATGCTTATTTAATTGTGTACATGCTTGCTAATTCCTGACTGGTCAATTTTTTGGAAGTTAATTGCCTTTCAAAGTATCCCAAACAACAGAAAGTGAGTTAGTATTGTGTCCTGAAAAGCCAACAAGACAACTGCTTGATTTAGATGGCACACAACCTATCTGGAGGTGAGGTTTATGGAGTTTCGCACGTGTAGAAAACGTTTGCACTGAACCAGATGTACATTTTTCTCGGTTGAACCTTTTAGACCCATCCTCCCTTGACAAGGAAGACAGTAAATCTGGTCATGTGATTGTCACTGTGGTCACACCATTATTTACCATTAGCAAGATCTTTATCACATAGTAATCAACTTTCCGTAGCACTGTGAGTGTTTTAGTCCGAATACTAACCAAATGACCTTTGCAGTATGATACTACCTGAAAGAACATTTATTTCAACCAGTATACCTCGTCGAGTCATTGCAATATGCAACGATTAACCAAGATGTCAATATAGCAGCTATCGGCTGGGATGTTTCTAGTAGTGTCAATATCAAAAGTAAGAGGATCGATGTCGCTCAGTCAACAGAGAATTGATCAAATGGTATAAATACTAATCAGATGAATTAACTATATTTTCGATACAAAATAGTGGCGCAAAAATCGATACTCTCACATCAGTTAACACCTAGGAAGTATTTGAATAACATCTTTCAGCTACTGACTTCTTTAACTCTCAGTCGAACTAAACTTTGCCTTATTATTCTCACTAGTTGAGTCTACTGCTAAGGCGGACAGCAGGCAGTTAAAAAGCATGAGATAATTAGTATGCTTGGGACAGGTAACTGGACATTGAAAGATCATTTCATCCATCAACTAGTGAGTGACCTTCTTTACATATCTGATGTCAGAGAATCTCTGATTTATAGTATTTTCCCAATGGTTCACATGTGGGTGGAAAATATCCCATCTTAAATGAACATTAATCATTCCATAGTTCACTAATATTGTGCTGAGAGCTGTCTGCTAGCCAAAATTGGTAGACAACAATTTACGTCCCAAATCTTGGTCATGAGAAAAACAAGAACAAACACTTTGCGTGGGCGGATAAGATTCTCTGACCACCATAAAAACGGCCACAAAGAGATGACAGATTAACTTTCAGCGAGAAAGCAACCAATCAGAAGACGCCGTTTCGCTGTTAACAATTACTAGTAATAATGTACACTAAAATATATAAATATCTCTAAATTTCCTCAGTATACGGTCTTTTGCCGGCTCCTTGTCTTCTGTCGTTACAATATATATATATATATATTACTGGTGACAATAGTGAACTAAATACACTTAGCCTAACACTTTATAAAATGACGATACTGATTAGTGCTAGTGTCCGAGTAATCATCTCGTCAGCAAAGCTGCAAAACTTTATATATTATTCACGAAACAGCTTCACTACATTCTGTAGACTTACTTTAAGCCATACATCTAATATATCATTCATTGAGACTAATTTTGTCTCCCATGCTATCATCTCTTTTTCAAATGGTTTAATATACGGTGAATTACGCATTGTTTGTGCTTTAATAATATGATCATCCAGAAGAACTTGTATATCGTCAACTGCTGACAGAATTGACAATCCCTGCAAAATACAGAGGAAGAGAAAGAGAGAGAGAGGAAATCAGAATACATGCAAACTTGCAGAAAAATAATTCAGCCAGGCAAACCGCTTGTTTGTTTGTTTGTTCGCCTGAGCTGTGTATATAGAAGACTAACAGCTTATGATAATGCAAATTTAAGAAATCACTGAATAATAATTCTGCAGTGAGATAATCCATTATCGATGTCACTGGAGCAGGTACTTTCGCCACTCGTCTGTAATCATTGAAAAATTTCATCTTTTGTGAAGTAATGCGATGTGATGTGATTGAAACTGCACCTAAAATTTTTGATTGTCTTAAAACCCAAACAAGTGGGCTTAAAGCCTGTAGAATGCAAACATCACAAAATAGAGATTTCTAGCTTAGGATGACGATGAAAACTGTTGAGTGTTCAGACAGCGGCAGCTACTTCTGCTACTCCTGTTTCTGTTAGCTGTCTTACAATCATTCTTTTTATTGCTGGTCTACCTCTATGCCACAGTGAATTACAGTGACGTCTGTGGTTTTGTTCACTGTACTATTATTCATTGTCATACATTAGATGTATAGAAACCAGAGCGTTTATATCAAATCCCAGGAAATTAGAAATGTACGTTGATTGGTTACTGCGGGGGTGTTGAAGCAGACTGAATTCAATCAGATAGGCTTGCTATGTGGTCACCAAGTTAGGTGGCGTGCCACTGTGGTGCACATTCAATAGATGTTAAATGTTGGAAGCAATCAACAACTAGTCCTGGATATAGGCTTTATGCTTGTTGGTATTCATCAGCAAGGTGTATCAATTGTGGGTAGAAATAGCTCACTGGTGATGTCTGTCAACACACCACTGAGTGAAGTGGGTTTGAATCTCAAAGGTAACATGAGTTCTTTCAAGAGTGCAGATGCTCTTAGTTTACTAGTGAATGCCAAGAAGCACGAAACCTAGGTCCTGTAATTTCTGCCAATTGCCTACAGTCATATAAGAATTAGAAAGATGTCGCTAATTTTTTTTCATTTTAACCAATTCTTTTTAAAAATCTACGGTTAGGATTGGGGTTAGGCCATCTTTTGTCTCATGTCCTGCATTCATGTAAGAAATGTAGAATGCTCTAAAACGCAACTGGGTGAAATACAAGAAATGATGAGGTGAATCAGTGTTAAATTCTACTGGGCTGTGGTTTTTCAACGTTAATTGAATCAAGCCCTGTTAACCCTTTAATTAGCATATGACAGTTCTGTACACTTATTTTTGTTTAATTTGTCTCCAGAAACAACAATCAGGTGCCTGATTCAATAACTGATCTTCCCCAGAGATGTTTCAACAGCTGTCAGAAGATTCACCCATAATTTCATACTTTTTTCAATCCTTTTCCACTTCGTGTGGAACATAGGTCTTCAGACTCTATGCCTTGTACCTTCAGTATCCCTAGTGTCACTGTTCCAGGGGGTTAGGGTGATAACCCTACGCTCAGCCTTTCTACCTTCTTAAGCTTACTGTCGGTTAATGAATTAGGCAGAATTTAGGAGTGAATCGAGCGTGAATTGAACTCCGCTTCCTGTGCGTCGTTGACTACCACTCTAGCATTAAACTACCAACGCACTATGAGCTCATACTATTGATATAATAATAAATATTTACTGGTATCAAGTTATTATAATCTTTAGGGAGTAGAAGAAGGCTAAACAATAGCTGTATAATTTATAGTGACACGAGATAACCCAATTAAATCTGTAACTTATCACTTACTGTATCTCTGTAGGGCAATAATTCAAAGCTCATTTGACGCCATTCTTCTTTCATTTTAGACATGGTTGTCTCTAGTTGATGCTCTTTAGCTGCTGCAGCGCCAACCTCTTCCAACTGATCCAAATAGGCGCCTAAGCCAAATTCTAAAAATGTCTGCAGTTGTGTATCTGGACTTGGCTTTATATCAAAGCTGACAATTTCACTCATTTGATCCCAGTGACGTTGTTGTATACCAGGATTGCAGACTACATGAATAATTGGTAAGAATTGTTGGAATTTAGTTAATTTCATCTAGAGAAAAAGGAGAAAATTCAAAAAAATCTGTTTGATTCTGATCAGTCCGGTGTGTAGATCACTTCGATCTGGCTGGCTTGCACTACTGGTTGATATGAGCGGTAAACAACTACTCATTTTGAACAATCAGTAGTATGTAGTAATATCAGTAAAAAGTTTGAGCATTGTGGATTAGATCAAATAAAGTATAATTATATTTTAATAGTTTACACACAATGATAAGTTTTGTTATTGGAAATATTTCGAGCAAAATTATACTTTATCAGTAGTATGTAGTTTTATGCGAAAATGTATTTGACTAATTTTTCGGCAGATAATTAAGACTTTTTGTTCCACTTTTTTTGCCTCTCATCTACAAACTGTCCAATCGTGACAGTTGTTGAACATAATTCAAACTGATAAATTTTGACAATAATTGCTTATCAGAAGAAAAATTTTGTCCACTTAGTGTAGACATTGTTTAGCCTTCTGGTTAAATTAATCCGACTCGAGTAATGTTGGGGGAAAGACAACGAGAGCAATGAAAACATGAAAACGCCAGCTTATTAAAACTTGTAGCCTATAAATTCAGTATGACGTCATTTTATGCCTCTAACTGTATTGTTCTTGCCTTGTTCAGAGACACTAAACTATTCATCTGATGTCCAAACTGTCCACTTTTCATCAACTCCTCGTAAATATTGATTTGTATTAGGAGCGGTACTTATGGAAATTCATCTCTTTCATTACTATCCTCTTTTGCGGAAAGCCTTCCTTTTACTCAACAAAGCTCTTCTCTGATTTCATCGAATCCACGAGATATATTTTCCAATCAGCAGTTAAGGTGATATAACTGAAAGACTGACGTCTGTTTGTTGAATAGTCAAAGGAAGCTTTCATGATGAAAATATGTAAAAGTCTACTGACAGTCTTAAACATCGCCATATCATATTATCTGTGAAAAAATGGAAACAGTAGAAGATTGATAAAGAGTGAATGATAATACAATAGGCGAACTTCTTTGCATTTATGGCTGGCTGGAGATAATAGCCTTAATATTAAAAAAGTACATTCACAAATATATAGGTACATTAATTTCCTTTAAGTCTGCTCAGATTTTATTCACTGACACTGGAAGTTAATTCATACTACAACGAAACTTCATCGAGAAGCCTGCTTAAAACTTGGACCACCGAAAACAACCTCTATCAGTATATATATATATATATATATATATATATATATATATTGCATATAATCTCTCTTACTCAATTCGTTTAAATCCAGCAAAATATGATCTGTAATAGTATTTTTTACTCTGGCAAGTGTTTAAAAAGTTTACAACCTGATAATTTGCAGGTTTCTACTTAACATGAGAAGAAGGATTATCCAACTAAAGAACGACATGATTATCCCAATATATGAGATAACTCCTCCTGGATTATGTCCTCGGTTTAAAAAATGTACTCCTGAACTTCTAATAATAAGCAGCCAACCAAACAGTCATGAATTTCTCGAAGTAGAAGAAAGAGAGATATCATAGTGATGGATTGATTTGCGCTTCAGGTCAGATAGATAGAAGAACTGTGTCACACGACCTACTGTCAGTGTTAATCTTTTTTGTGGGAGGTGTTGACGAGATGTTCAATAATGGCACTTCTGATTGAACCAGTGCCTCCTCTTTGCAGCCACGCTGGGTAGTGTTCTCTAACACGTTTTGAAAGGACGCGCATACAACGACCTATGTACCTAGCTCCGCACGAGCAAGTGAACTGGTATATGCACATTGAATCGGTCATATGCGAGAGTTTGTCCTTCGTGTTGTTTCGAAGTATTGGACAGCTAGAGAATGTCACTATTAGTGTTGCTGCAGAGAAGGTCTTCTTTAAAGAAGCAGAGAAGACCTTCCTGCAGCAACACTAATAGTGACATTCTCTAGCTGTCCAATACTTCGAAACAACACGAAGGACAAACTCTCGCATATGACCGATTCAATGTGCATATACCAGTTCACTTGCTCTTGCGGAGCTAAGTACATAGGTCGTTGTATGCGCGTCCTTTCAAAACGTGTTAGAGAACACTACCCAGCGTGGCTGCAAAGAGGAGGCACTGGTTCAATCAGAAGTGCCATTATTGAACATCTCGTCAACACCTCCCACAAAATCTCAACCGATTCTTTCAAAGTGATTTACAAAGTTAATCTTTTTTATTTCAAGATCGTGTACGAAGAGAAAAAATCATGTAATAAACTCCACTGTAAACTCTGTACGTTATACTAACAGTGTTATTATCACTATTATTATTTGGATAAAACATAGTGTTACACCGGTGTGTCTTTGTTCCTGCTATTAGGCATAAATGAAAGTGCCTCTTCGTATCCCTCATTTCTGATAGTTGTAAAAAATGGGAAGAGTGAACTGCTGCACAGGTATAGTACGTTTTTTGTTGAATAGGCGAAAAATTTAGTTTTGTTTCACTACACTCAATGTGGGTTAAAGTAACGGCTTCACCTGCTTGATTAAAAATCCAACCGATCAAATTTTTCACTCATTATCCTGCAAAAGAAAAACAACTTACTTTTACTTTTTGGGCTACTTTTGATGGACCAGGCAATTCAGCGACTACTTTGGTAAGTTTATGTATTGTCTTATACATATCTGTAACTTGTTGTTCAATATCATATGGATCCAATGTATGATAGGGTGCTTGAAGCCATTCTTTATGGCATGTGTCAAAAGCAAGTGCAGTACGCCATAGTTTATCATATGGGTCCATTTGTTTTTTAAGCTCCATAATCGTTGGAAATGGTGTCTGTTCCCAGCCAACAAGACTTTCTTCTCTGTTAACATTGAAATTTTTGTAAAACAGTTAGAAACCAACAATTTAATACAAGAACGATATTTAAGGGTTAATCTTTATGAGGATTGGTTGAATCGTTTTCATTTCTTCTTTACAAGACTACTATCACTAACACAAGAGGTGACTAACTTAAAGTAATAAAAATGCATATGAACACACATTTGACGCTCGTTTCCATTTGCAAGTGCTATTCAGAGAGCATATTACATTTTTTTATCGGAAACATACACATAAACGATTTAGACAGCTGTTTTCATTTACGCATGTTGAAGCACACCATTCCCATCCATAGCATATACTAGTATAAAATAAGTACTTTTCGTAGTCAGTACTTTTCAGAGTGTGCGGTTGCCTTATATCTTGCGTGAATTGGCAGATTTTTTTTTGGTTACAGCTTAATTCCACACCGTATTTTTGGTACAAGTGTGGAATTTTCAGCGTGGATATCGGTAGCCCAAAATTCGCAGGCCAACCATAGATATCAGGTGTGCGTCGGCGTGGGCTTGAACCCCGGACCATGTGCATGGTCGGCGAGAGTCCTAACCACTGTGCCACCGACGACACGATGTTGGAATTCATGGACTGATCACTGGATTAGCTGGTCCCAGTGTTTTAATGGTCTACGAGCTCGCCTGATAATCGAAAGTTCGGGAGTTCAAACCCCGATGGGTGCGTGCCATTGAAGAACTCGAAATGTGATGGAAAGCTTTCTCGAACTCTCTAATGGTTTTCCAATGATTTTCTAACCGATATCAGCTCATCATGAAATCCCGTAACCAATCAAATTCGTGCAAACCAACAGTTGAATAATGTTAGTGACTGCTAACGATAACAGCAGCCACAATAACAATGAAAGACGTTGGTAAAACGAATGAAAGGGGATAATTTTAAAAATAGGTGTAAAGGTCAGCGGGTTCACGAAACCCCAACTCACAGGCATACATAAGAACAAAAATTATTTTACAGATTGATAGAAATATCAAGAAAACTTTGATATTGAATGTGAAGAATGGATAGCGGAAAAATAAAACAAACAAAAATGTGTTATAGAAAAGACTCAGACAAGTGTTCAGTGAAATAGAAAATCCTACAAGATTCGTCAAGAAAAATATGAAGCTGAAGCGAAACCCCTAAGGAATCTAAAGGATGCCGAAAAAATTTTTTGTTTATGAGTGTTGAATTTAAGGATGATACCTCAGCTGAGATCTTGAAATACCGCTTATCCGGATCAATCATAAAAGCATCCTTTCCAGCTGAGCTATGGATCAGTTTCTATACTCGGAAAATGAGTAGTGGAGGTGTGAAGGAAAAACTACTGCATCGGGCCAGTTCAGTGTATGCTTGTTAATACACTCACCCCTGTGGAGATAGTTATATTGGCAGCATCAATAAACATTACCCAGCATGGTTGGTAAGAGGACTGTGAAAAACGAGTCATATATGAAAATATATATTTCCATGAGGTCTGATTTCATGCTTAAGCGAAAATATTAAGAGTGGAACTACGAAAACACGTACAAGTCGTAGAGTTGACCATTAGACTTATTGTTTAGCTATAGTCAACTAGTTTAGGCCAATCACCATTATTTAAAACAATTAGTTCCTTTTATCAATTTAGATAAAGCAATAAGAAGACGTAATTTGTCTGAATCGTGTAATGTATTTGCGCCCACAACACATTTCAAACAGTCTGATCCATCACACACGGACTTGTCATTAGAATATATATGAAATTAATAAAGAGGTAAGAGGTGAGAAAATAAACTACTTAGGTCAAGTTAAAAGGATATATTCAAGGTCAAAATAACAATGAAGACCACTAAACCAAATAGCAGAGGTAATAGTACATCTATCCTGGCAGGTATCAAAACAAAGTTCACCAAGGAAGGTTTAATGTGGTGACGAATTGTTTTTGAACGCATAAAGGTGGCTTGAATTTCCTAATTGCTAGGGCTTCCACAAACTTTAGGATACGCCCTCCCCGAATGCGTTTTATAGATAGGTTTAAAAGATCTGTTAACATCAATTTTATGACCTGTCTCTATAATATGTTTCGCAATAGAAGAGCTAGGTCTCCTGTTCTCGCCGTTAATAAATCCTGATGATTCCATTTGTTTCTGGAGCCATTTTGGAATATGCTCTGAAGCCCTTATTTGCAGAGATCAATGAGTCCTCCCTATGTATGTGTGTCCACACGTACATTTAAACTGGTAAATACAGTAGGATGTGACGTCATTTTTCGTATGTTCGAAGGGCTTAGATAGATATAATGGCTTTACATTCACCATTATGTCTCAGTTTTTGAAAACTGTCCAGAAACTTCTTCAGTATATTCTTAAACCTTCTTTAAAATCTTTTTATGACCCAAAACAGTTTGCTTAGAAATGCAGTAGAAGCAATTTAGATGCTGCTGTTGTACTCCACTACAATATTGTTTCGAGTATAGATAAAGAAAGCACGAAGTTTGTTCGAGCCTCCTTCTTAGAAGTCACTGCGCTGCTTTTGATTCTATTCCTAGGCATTTTTATTACGCAAGCTGATTTCAGCACACACTGAGACCTAGGTGACGAGGTGGCTGTTTTCCTGTTTTTCAGGTAGAAAGCGCAACATACTGTTCTGAGCGGAAAGCACTCCACCTTTTTGCTAAGGGAAACTCGTGTGCCTCAAGGCACTGCACTCTCTCTATATTCCTTTTTTCTCTCTTCTTGTGTGGTCTTCTGTATTCTTCCAGAATTAATTTCGTCAAATTTGTCGACGATCTAACCGTTTATGTCCCAGTAGTTTCTGCATTGGATTGTTTTTATATGAATAGGTTCTTATCCGAAGTTAACAAGTGTTCTCATTAAATGCTCTTAAATTGAATCCGTCTAGATATCGTATTGCTGAATTTTGTTTCAGACGTGAACAAGACTTGTGTGAACTGATTCAGTCTCATGATTGTTGTAGTATCGACGGCACTGTATTATGGAATGAATCAAGCATCTATTATCTTGGCATCAGTTTCTCATCGTTCTATTCTTCCTTACAGTAGTAATAGTAGTACTAAATGAAATTGTACCGACGAAAATATATTTAGTCTAATTATTCTTGCTGAATACATTTCGCTTACATGGGGATTGTCCATCACAGACTAGACAGATAGGTTTAATTTTACCCTAATTCAAACAAAGCTTCATAAAGACCCTGAGTTTAATACTTTGATTATTTGTGCGCTCATTGTAGTTTTCCAGATCACTACTGCCTTGAAATATCATACTACAGGCGATTTCGACTAACGACTGATGAATACTGAAATGCCATATGATGCTGACGATGATTAGCCTTTAATTTAGTAAACTACTTCCTTTTGTGTCTGTCTCACTGCCCATAAGACCAGCTCAATAGGCTGGTTTTAAATAAGTGGTCCACTTTGAGAACTCATACAAAACACTGTAGATTCAGAGTCCTATAGTTTCCCTGTAGATAAGAAAAAGGAGACGGATTAATATTGGGCGATATTCCCCTTCCAAAATGGTCGATGACCTATGGATACAAATGGCATAATACCTTATACTGACAGAAAAGCAAACCAGGATCATTACTAAGTGATAATGAATAAAGTAAAGATTGACGTCTGTGACACAGAGGTAGGATAATCACCACCCCAGGGTTCAATCCATGACGCACACTCAAACCTCGCTTGACTGGTATGTGAGCCCGGCAAAGAGAGGACTGTGGCAGTGAGACTAGCAACCTTACCTAGTAAAAACAAAACCACTGGTACCGAAACTTCAGAGCTCTAGCCTGAAGCCTTGTGTTCCACTAGCAACTCACATAAGCCATTGTCATTGACTTTCAAGCATGCCACAGTATCAGCCTCGAATAGTGTCTACCAATTATTGCTAAGGACTTCAGAGGAAAACCTTTAGCACTTTACTCACTGGCTATAACATACAATCCAGTACAGTATTTTTTTTGAATATTAACTCAGGAAGTAATAATTCATGCACAACTTACTTGTTGATTTGTTCTAAATCTGCTGTAAATACCTGTAAATCTGCTTGAAAATCGTCCAGAATCGACTGTGATTTCAACATTTCATCTTGAGAAATCACTTCACGACGACGCATCAGAACAACACGATCCCAAGCATTCATCAAACGCTTTTCTAAATCTGCTGTTCTATGTTTCAAATTTTCTTCAGCATTTTCACGTAACATATTCAAGCGCGTATTTGTTATGTCAAGTACAGAGAGGATATGTTCTGGCCAGTTGAACAGGGTTGAATTCAGTTTTATATCATCATCTGTAAATGAACAGTGGGAGTTGATTAATGTGAGGAATAATGCTCAAATTATAATTATTCTCTTTGGTTTCGAGCAAAACATAGAACTTTGACAACACATCTCCAATTTATTCTATATTCTGCTGTCCTCTTTAAATGGGCCCACAATCGCGTAGGCTGCCTACTATCATCAATGATCTTCCTGATTGCAGTAGATTGGATAGTGCGACAGACAACGGGCAATCAGGAAACAGGCATAAAATGGACTCACACAAAAAACTTGGAGGGTGTGGACTACACCGATGATATATGTCTGATTTCCCACAAACTGGAAGATATGCAAGTGAAAAGTAACAAGTTGGCAGAAGAAGCATCAAAGATAGGACTTCAGGTGAACATAGAGAAAACAGAGGTAGGTGATGAAGATTCCTGGCCAACACCAACAGCTACAGGAACAACAACAGACAACACTCAGCCAGCATAAATGAGAGGAACTTGAAAGAAACAACCTCCTTTA